GGTTAAGTTAGCTCTGAAACTGAAACAGCTGGTCTGGCTCTTTCCCAAAGGTAACAAAATCCCCCTACCAGCCCCTCTAAATCTCTTTCTATAACTATTAACACTTTATATCTTATTTGTTTGATTTGCATTTGGCGAAAAGGGTATCCAAAAAACGTCATTTTTAACTGATCATTGGAGGTGCTATAAGGCGGACTTCCTTTCACCTTCGGACAGGCTAGCTGTCTTTATACAAGTCTTTATGCTACACTAAGCTAAATGTCTGCTGGCTGTAGCTTCATATTTACTGACAGACATGAGAAGTGGTATCGATCTTCTAATCTAACTCTCACCAAGGAAGCAAATAAGCGTATTTCCCAAAAGTGTTGAACTCTTCCTTTAATATATTATTAATATGACTCCAATTGAAGCCAGTTGTTCTCAGTATGATCTCATGGGCCTGATCGGTGTGTGATGTTACAAGCACTAAATCCTTCTATTTGTGTTCCCAGACCATAGCACTACGTTCGGTTGTTTCCTTCATTGTTTTGAATTAGTTTTTGTATTTAAGTGCCTTAACCTTGGCCTTAGCTCTATCATAAAGCATCACAGGCATTGCAAAGTTTCTGTGAGTGTGTTGATGGTCTGGCGTTTTTTGTACATTACTCACCCTCACTCCCAATAATAACCATGCTCCTTGCAATGTATAACTCGGCACATAATATAATGTATGCAAACACACACACACACACACACACACACACACACACACACACACACACACACACAAGCTCATGCACAGCAGCCTCCTCCACCCCAATACACACATACTTGATGGACTTCCATTTATTAATAGCCTATAATAATATTGTATTTGTTTGATATTGTTGAAACTTGTGGTACACTGTATTGGTTCAATAGCTGGCTGAAGAACCTTACCTGCTGGAATGAGAACTATCATTTACATTAAAACATTAGATAGGATTAATTTAAGTCTTTGAAAATTTACCGGTCTGTATATATTTTTCTCTACAATTTGCTATCGAGTACATAAGCTTGCAAATGTGGCCAATATTAAGAAAAGAACTGATAATGCTACTGTGTATTGAGAAGTACTCATAATTAAGTTCTCGTGTTTGTACCACAGCAAAAAAAATGACTTTGGGCCGCATCTCTAATTTAGGCAAATGTCTTCAGGCTCTATTAAAAAATGGCAATGACTGAATTTTTTTATTGCATTATTCCCAGGCAGCAGGCATCAAACTGACAATCCTACTTAAGAGCCAGACTTTGCGAGAAAGGATATTAAGACATATTGTAAGTTAAAAGGGGGATCCAGGCATTTATAGAGTGTATTTATAGAGCACAAGTCTGCCCCAAAGCATGCGAGGTTGAGACAAGTGGAAAAATGTAGAACATGAAAAACCTACCTGGGAGTAAGATTTTGTTACGTTCATTGTTTTTTGTTAACTTTTGTGTACTGTACTGTACATTGCCAATGTTCATGTGTAATGCACTTTTTTTTACATTTTGTTAAGATGATGTCCAGTCTAATGTTTATCATGGAAATAAACCATTTCCGCTGCATAATCTGTTTATTCAGTTAAGTCGTTGCGGTGGCATCCAGCTCTGCAATTATCACACACTGTTTTCATTGTATTAACACATTTTTACACATTAAGATTCCCTGTTATATCTTTACTGTGTCTGAAAAAAAACTGTACTTTTTAAACAAACCTTTATTGCAATGTACTGCACACCTTTGATCACCACTTGCTCTTTAAGTCAAATGAACAGGGCAGGGAGCACTCTTATTGAGTTAGTCAAATGAAGTCAGTCTGACATCATGGGGCAGGTGACGGCTGAAGGAGAAGATCTCCCAGAAAGACCAAAGTCCAACAGGACGACGGGCAGGCAGAGCATCAGTTTTAAACATCAGCCTCGGTAAGTATCTACCTTTATATCTGTGATGATGTTATATGATTTTATACAGTTTATTAGATCACTTCCAAAACTGCAGACAATGAAATCATTTGAGGGGAAGTATTAATAAGAATAGGACTGATTGTAATGGTAAATGCTACATTAACAACAGGAAGAGTTAAGTGTTAAATACACTTAACAGTTTCTACCTCAATAACAAGAATTTGCGCTTATGGTGTCCAAAAGTGCCATACCTGTATTGTATAAGGTGATACTTTACACTCCTGTGGTTATGTATGTTAAACTATGTTATTCAAGCCACAGAAATGGCTCATTATATGCTGGTACTTTGCAATAATCCAGCGTGCCACCTTAAAGTAGCAGCACATTTATCTTTTCATAACCCCAAGTCCTGCCTTACAGAATGCTGGGGAAATTTTACTGTCAATCTAGATCATGTGTCAGGATATCATCCCGTCGCATTTGAATTTGAGCTTATTACATGTCATACACATAATGCGCTAAAGAAAAGGCACGGTATTCTTCTGATGGGGGGAAAAACAAAACCTATTCTGGGACCGAGTTAATAGTTTGTGTACTCAAAGTCACAAGTCTCTTATAAACTGTGTGCTTGATATTGGAAGCATGAGAGACACAAGAATGGGAAATGGAAAGAGAGATATGAGGGAGGGAGTTTCACAAGCCGATGTCACAGATGCCTCCCACTGTTGCCATCATAACACATCCATCCCAAAATAACACTTCAGACACACCAAACCTGCAAGCGCACTCATCGGTCAAGTTGCTGGATTGTTGGGAGTATGTTATACCAGAAAACCAGAGTTACAGTTTAACAATGTCAGCCGGTTAAAGATGAAAGATCTAATTCAACTAAAGGAACCACATGAGGGACAGAGTAGTGCCAGGACGCACCAGGTACTGCTGATGTGTAAAGGAGGAGACAGATGCACATCAGTACAAGTTAAAAACAGGAAATGTGAGAGAAAAGGGCTTTCCACACATCAAAGCTCAACTCTGGACCAACTTAAAACCTCTTGATATTTATTAAAAGCTTTTCTGCTCATTCTTATGTGGTGTAGAGCAGTTTTTCCCCAACCTTTTTTGTCAAAGGTACCCCCAAAGCCCTATCAGATGGACTCAAGTACTTCATTGACACCATCATTTATCCACTTATCCATTACTGTTTTCTATTTCAACCATTTCTCACACACTTTTAGCCAACCATCCATTAAGCTCTCTGCTTGTTTGCTAGTTTTCATGCATTCCCATTCTTGGTGTTCAGATGTTACAGCTGGCTCAATATGTGGATATATTTTAATATTCAAAATGTATTTTCTATTTTCTCAAATTAATTGAGCTACTCCACATTCCTTCCATTTTTTCCCCATTTTATTCCGGGGTTGGGAATCACTGGTGTAGAGAACAAGAATCATAATTTATAAATAAACAGGAGCCACGCTTCAAGGGGAATAGTTTCATTTACGTTCCACGGACACGCGTGTTGGTTAAATAGACAGGCTTGAACAAAACAGAGTGTCACTCAACACCTCTCAGGCTTGAAATAGCTTAAGCAGCAGAGCGCATGATTGCAGATGCAGGGTGAAGAGGTTCACTCACCTCTCTTTCCTCACTCACCTTAGAGAGTATTAGCTTAGCATTCCCTCTGATACGTTAGAACGAACTTCAGTGTGTGCTCCTGCAAAACATATGTGGTGTATATTCGTGCACGTGTAGTTATTTGTTTGTGTGCTAAATATACTCATTCCACAATTTCCACATGCCACTTTAAAGTCCGTTGAGCTGTTTTCCCTTTGTAATAATCTCTCTTCCACCATCCATCATGTCGGTTGTTAAAATCTGTCCTCATCAAGCCCCCGGACAAACAATTCAGTGCAGTCAAAGCACTTGTGACTCGAATCACGTATTCCAGGTGACCTTTCTATAAACCCCTGTAACCAAAACAACCATAAACATTCAGATAGTTTGAAGGGAGAGAGAGAGACACACACACACACACACACACACACACACACACACACACACACACACACACACACACACACACACACACACACACACACACACACACACACACACACACACACACACACACACACACAACAAACACGCCTTGTCTCCGAACCAGTAATTGACAGTGCATGATGCCTCACAATGTGCTGGCTCTGAAGGGACATGTTTATAGAATTAGTTATTAGGCTCACAAATAATATAAAAACAAGGCTTTGATGTGATTCAAGACTCATTAGTTTTACTGAGCATCTAAATGATTTTAAATGATTTATAGTTCATGTATTTGGCTGCATTTATTAGATCAAATATTTTGTATCTTTTGACCTTGGCACCTGGCAGCTGACCTCTTATCTCACTTGTCTTGTTTCCTTTTTGGCCTCCTGACTCACTCGCAGCAGTCAGACCAGCTTTAATTATAGCCGCCACAGCATTCCTTCCCGACAGAATAGGCAGAGATAGATAGAGAAACCTTGGGGGGGGGGCAAATGTGAGCAGTATAGAAGAATATACAAAAATAGAGGAAGACTCAGGAGAGTTAAAAATAGACAGCAATGCCTGTTGTGTGATTTCATTTCATTAGGATGGGGAGGCAAGGCCATCCTCATTGCGCCATTGTGTGTTACTTATAAATCCACTGCTGTCTTGACATTTGTCTCTCTCAGACAGAACAACAGCCATGGGCCAGAAGCTGGAGAAGCTGTCAGAAAAGGATGAAGAGTCGTTTGATAATTCAGATTGGTCTGAGCAAACTGCGGAGACAGGACCGTCGGAGACAGCAGAACAAGATGAGAGCAGAGATCAGGACGATGGCAGTTTTGTGACCCCTCAGAGTGTTGGTGGGATTAGTGGGATCAGTGTCAGCGGCCAGGCCACTGGGCGTGCGGTGGAGCTCACAGTCACTTCTGCACGTACAGACCCCCAAACTGGGCAGCCAATCAGGCCTCTAGGTCAGCGGGAGCACCCTCTGAACACCAGGGGAGAGTGGGTGGGTGGAGACAGGGAGAGCCGGAGTGTGACTCGGACTGCAGAGGAGTCAGAAACTGTCCTGAGCCCTAAGGAGACAAGACAAACTTTAAACAAAAAGCGAGGCTCTGAGAGCAAGGCTGTGGCCTATACTGGGACTACAGCCATGGAGGAGCAGGGAAATGGGAAGAAGTCAGAACTTGGCCGAAACAAGTCGAGTCCTGGCGCCAAAACCAGGAGTCTAACAGCCTCATGCGACCCCACTAACGAGGAAGACTTTGTGGTGCTCGAGGAGGATGAGACTTGGATGTCATCAGATGGGAAAAATAACATCCCTTTTGACAACAGGATAAAATCAGATAATCTTCAATCATCCATTAAAAGAAGAGTTGAGGAAAACACTTCCGCTAGCTACAGCGACAATAACCTTCTACAACCTTCCAGGAATTCCCCTCAAGAAAAGCTTATTGAGAAAACAAGCAGAAGAAAGTCTGACACACGTTCAATCGCGATTGACGGCGTGGAAGCAGACGCAAAGAGTTCACCCGCAGCCTGCTCTGAGAGTGTAATGGGTCTACCTTTGGCTGAAGTGACAGGCAGCAGGTGTCAGCTAAAAGGAGTCAGTCGTGTTGGAGCTGCCCTCACTGAGACAACTGGGAGAGGAAAAGCAGACAGGGAGCAAAATGTGGATGAACACGACATGGGGCAAGTTTCTACTGACATTAATAAGGAGCATCTGTCAAAACAAAACAACAGGGGATCGGGGAAAAGATTAAGAAAGAGCACCGAAGACACGGTTGATGAGCCGGGTGGGAATTGGGAATGCTTGGAAAAGGCAGATTGTTCTTTAAGAGAATTGGAAAATCCCGATAAGGAAAGCCACAAATCAGGATTTAGTGCAGAGAAGGCCCAAGTGGGAGCGGATCAGTCCCATCAGAGCAGGTTTGCTGGTGCTGTCTCTAAGAGGGCTAAAGCGGGTACTCGTAGTTTGTGCACCAAAAAAGAGGACAGCCAACTGTTCTGCAAAGCGGCCGACTCTCCAAAGCCTCCTAGCTCTGAAATACTGCATGACAATCCCTCATTTTCATTGGAACAATGCGATTTAATCCCTTGTCCTCCCCTGCTAGGGAATGAAGGCAGTGACGGAGAGATACAGGTTGCGAGCTTAAAGAGGGAGAGCGAGCTTGTGTGTTTCTCTGCTGTCATCACCCCTCCACCTGTAACTCATTGTTTGCCTAAGAGAGATACATCAATGGCAACACAATTCGATACAAGTATGGTCAATTCACAGATGGCGCCAGACACCATGCCTGACTTGTGTGATTCTAAAGACGAGTCTGCACCAAAAGAAAAGCCCAAAGTTAAAGGTCCACCTCCACCTGTCCCCAAAAAACCTAAAAACCCATTCATAAAGCTCAAAACTGCACAATTAATGTCTACCGATGTGCAAAGGAGAGGCAAAGATCATCTGCGTTCTGAGGAGAGGGTCAAGAGGAGACATACTTTTCATTTTAACAAAGATCCTCCATGCAATGCTCCAACTAATCAGGACATGTGCTTGCTGTGGGACGAAAGGGGCACTTACACAGTGCCAACTACCAAACGGCCGCTGTCAGTTGACCTCACCCCTTGGGAACATCTTTCGCTTGGACACATGGACGATCGGTACGGAGATATGATCGACTTTGACTACTGTGTGCGTATGGCCAGACTGTCCCCAGAGGAAGAGCCGCAAAACCTGGACATGTTGCAGAGGAGAGTATTCCTGGAAAGGCGATCGAGATTTAAAAGCTCACCTCCTCAGGTTGCGAAAAAGCCCCAAAATCCTTTTGCATCCACGGAGACTCTTCACATACCTGAGGTCACGTCGGACAATGAAATCCAAAGACCCAATCCTGTTTGTTCAGGGAAAAGAGAAATCTACCCTGAGCTCCAATCTGAAAGAGTCAGCTCCCAGGTCAGCTATGACAACCACGGTAACTATGGTAACCGTAAAGATATAACTGATTACAGTGGTGACAGGGATGCAGGAAGTGGCGGTGAGGTGGGTTCGTACAAGCCTGTGGCGGAAATTATCAAAGAGACGAATCAAATGCAGAGACATCAGGGTAGGGTCAAATCTGAAGGGGCCAAAGCTCCGGTTCGGGTGGCAGAGCAGAGTCCGAGTGTGAAAGTGTCCCAGATGAAGAATGCCTTTGATGTCCCAAAGAAATCCAAAGACAGACCACAAGAAGTTCAACCACCTCCAAAGAAAGGTAAGGGCTTTGTTAACGTTTGAGACATCAGTTCTGTGCTTGGTGGTTTATCAAAGCATTCATATGCAGAAATATAGCACATGTGTGTTATATTAGGATGAGAGGGTACTTTCCAAACTGCATACCACAGACGGTCATGTGAAAACTCCTCAATTCTCTTTCTGCTTCAAGGATTCATGGTTTACTTTGGGTTAAAGCACGTCTCAATTTGTGTATGAAACCTATTAAAAAAGTAATTTGATGAACTCAACAATGAGTGGTCACATTAATAATGCATTTTATAGTGAAATACTGACATTTGAAGGTACAAAGTCATGTTTTTTACTTTAAGACTGTGACCTTGTGAAACTACCTCAAATTAAAAAATACACAAAAATTTTGATTAAAAGCTCCTCTGATCAATATTTCTATATTTTATATTTCTATATATTTACTTGTCTTGAAAACCCCCCAGAGACTCACCAAACACTACAGTTCCTCTCAGCTCTGAGCAGCTTTTTAGCCTCTTTTAGCTCTGTTCAGCACTGTTTTGGCTCAGTGTGACTGCTCTCAGGTTGCTTTTTACAGCTAAACATCTGTGATAAACCACCTGTATGCTACCTGCCCATCACATTACCTTCTTCCTGTCATTTAGTCCAATTTCATCCTCTCACCAATGACGGTGCTTGGTTTTTGAATCTGGGTCCTGGTCTGTGTGCAGCTTGGACGTTCTCCCAGTGTTAACCACAGATTCCTCCCACACACAAATTTACTCCTAGGTGTAAATGAGAGTATTAATGTGTTGGTCTACATTTATAAACCCTGTGGCAGTCTTGGACACTGTCCATGGTGTTCCCCGCTGTCTGTTGATGTTCTTCTGGTATAAGCTCCAAACCCCCTTGACCTTTTTAAAGATATTTTTTTTTTCCTGCTATATCTCCCATTCTTTCATTCATAATTTACAGATATGTTATTAACATTTCAGTCAACAGCGTTATTAAACAATCATACTTCATCTAGATGAAGTGGTTCTGTGAGTAAGTAAAGTGTAGACCAACTCACAAGGTCATCAACGTATTATTGGACCAAATCTAAAATCTATATTTTTATAAAGAAACATAAGTGGCTTCAGTGTAGTTTGACAAAAAATAACCCCAACTCAAGTTCCATTTAGTTGCCTTTTCTGAAGCTTTTAGCTGTATTATCTGTTATTTATTAAATTTGGTTCTTGACCTTGAAGAGTGGGTGATGTGCTGTAGTAAATTTTGTCAAACTACTATTTCCAAAGGTCAAGAATGAACTTTTCATACTTGTTTCACAATAGTTGCGGATTCTAAAAACATTCGTTCTGATGATCAAATCTAGTTTGACCTTTTTAAGCAATTTGTAAGAAGAGACAGATAATTAAATTGCTTTAGTTAGCATCAAGAAACAGTATTAAAAATGTGAGACCCTTTACATTTGTCCATCTTAGGCACCTTAAAAAGAGTGAAACTGTTGAATAAACTCTGGTAGATTTAATGACGCCTATGGAGTTCAAATCAGTGATCAACATAAAAAGCAAACACAGGGAACAGCTGATACCACTGAATACTTGTGATGGATAGGTGCATCCCAGAATATAAGGGGGGGGGGGTTCTTTATTGTGTTTAGACGGTGCAGGCTGGGCTGGGGTGAGGTGGGACAGAGGGGGGAGGGGAGGGACCGTGACACAAAAGATGCTACTGGCAATGAAAATCCACATTTTTGCACAGCTGAAATAAAAAACTAATTGATTCAGCAGATCTTCAAAAGACACGAGGAGGATGTAGTCAGACACACAGTTTTCCTGCAGCCCCCCTCATTCCCAATTCACACCCTTGGGAAAATGAAATCTGACTTTTTTGCGTTTGCGCATGTGCCGTAGCCGGTCGTCAACGTATCCTATTGAGTTTAATAGCGATGAGAGTAGACGATTGCTAGTCTTCCGCAGGTGAGAAGCGGGGGGAGATGCTCTATTTGTCAGCCGGCATCCTGAAATACCACTAGATTTGAAACAGTGCCTCCCGGCCACATATTTGCATCCAGGAGGGGGGGAATAAGAGCATAGCGGCTGAGCTTGTTTTTTTTTTTTTTTTGTGGAGACAAGGGATACTAGAGCAACGTCCTGCAGGATAAGGGCGCGCCTAAACTACCAGATTCATGTGTTGTGATTGATTACCCCCCGAGCTTTACGAAAAAATCTTGCATAGATTTAGGAGGTAAGAAAGCCTGAAAAAAAAGTCTCTTTGCTTTGTGCATTTTTTATTTTTATTTTTTTTGCATGTGATGTGTCTGTCGGGGGGTGCTGAGCAGCATCCATTTAGCTCGCCGCATGGATTTGAGAATGGGAGCAGCCTAAAAAACCTCGGGTGGAAATATCTGCACTTGCGTCAGCTGGCGGCGGTCCACCGCGGCTAACGGTTAGCAGCTAGGCTAACTCGCTAGCTTTACTGATTGAACAGTTTGGATGGAAACACGGCGGCAGGCTAGTGGAGGACAATGATGTTACTATGAGTGGACGTAGTACACAACTCCCACAGCTACTACGTGTGATATTTAAAAAAAAAAAAAAAGACAACTGTACCCCTCCCATCGGGTTGTCTCCTCCTGGTTAGCGGTGTTTCGTCCGCGGTGTGTCAGCGGCTGTTGAGACGGGACCAACCCGGCACAGCTGCCTGACTGCCGGGGCAGTGCGGCGGAACACGGGCTACGATTAGTGTCGCCACCTTGTTGTTGTTGTTGTTGTTTTTTAAACAGTATCGTTAATTATCTTACTTATCATACCTTATTTTATTACATATTTAATTAAACGTTACAGCAAAACCCATTCTTCGTGGCGACAGTCACATCTGGGGCGTACTGACCCATCCTCCGGGTTCCAGTAGCGTTAGCCAGCGTGGCTAACTCTTGGTTGAACCCTATCACAACGTTAACGAGCTGATATTACAGGCGATATAGTTTACAAAATCACAGCTGAGTCTTTATTCTCCTGGTGTTTTGTAGTTATACGTGTTTGACATGGGGAAGAAGGAGGAGGAGGAGGAGGAGGAGGAGGACACACCGAGGTTTGAGCTAAAGGCTAGCTAACGTTAGCCAGCAACCATTGTTTAACGTTAGCACAGTGCAGCTGTTTCCACCTCCGTTGAGTACAGCTCAGTCGGTATATTCAGCATAAACCTCAAAAGATATAACATGGCGGTATTATTCTGAGCTTAGGTTGAGCTGATAGTGATTGCTTATTTACTGGCACCCATTTAAATGGCGTTGTGCAGAAAGGGAGGCCAGACTCCTGCAGGGGCTTATCAGAGGAAGGTATCAAATTCTCTTTCAGCTTTCCACTCTTTGGGCAGTGATATCATAGCATTAGACTGTAACTGCTGAAACGAGGCCTAAACTGGGTGTCCACCATCATGGTGCTCAGCAATGTCCCAGTGTGTGATGTGGTGTAGGGGCAGAGAGAGCAGCATGTTGTTAATGTAAAGCATCCACTGAAAGCCTTTGCAGGGACTGAAGCAGCTCTTTTTGTCAGATGCATGTTTTGCAATGAGGGAATGAATGGTGCACTCACACTGGCTGAGGGAACACGCTGTTCTGGGCAGCCGTAAACTGTAGTCCTCTGCTGTCCAGGCATCATGCAGCCCTGCAGCAATATCACCACTGTTACGGCTCTGTGAGACATTGTTCTACGAGCATTTGATGCATAAGAAGGGGTCACGTCTTGCAATCAACCTTGAAGCAGCTCATTTCTCTCGTATTTCAGTCTCAGATGGTAGTAATTGTTACAGATGATAGTGCTTTTTGAAAGTACTGGTACAGTGTATATGCTGTGGGAAGAGGATGCTGTCATCAAAATGAAAAACCTTTTTAAAAAGTGACAAGATGTCTCTGAGAAAATGTCATGTGACATGTCCTCACATTGAACTGTGAGGACAGTTTAGATTTTGGCTGTTATGTTCATGGAAGTCATGTGATAAGTGACCATTTTTACATTTTTCTGCATCAGAAATCTCCATACAGTTGTCTAAATACTTACTTGACACCACAGTCTACACATTAACCATGTAAGAATCATAAAGATGACAATCTGTACACACCCACATCGCCCTGAGACAAGAGCTAATCAGACCTGTGTTGATGTATAAATGGTGTGTGGGGCTTTAAGGCTTCACTCTTATTTTAGCCAAATTCAGATTGTCAGATTCAGCTTGTTATTTTTAGTGTTTATGTATTGTACCTGTCCTCAACATCATTATAATCAAGAATACAGAAGAACTAAAGTATTTACAGAAAACATTTATAAACAAAAACTGATACCATCACCTGACATTCACTTAAAAAAATACGTTTCCTCAACATAAACATCTTTAGTCTGAGCAACAAAGCTATTCTGAAATGCCAGCTTTAAATCAGAAATTACATTTGATGGTATTGATGGAAGTTTTGTTCAGTAGTTTGCAAAACTCAGGAAGATTTAGGAAACATTCAAGTTTCTTTATTAGATCAACAATTCATGTTCAAATCTTCTCCATTTTCACAATCTGGGACTGAATGTGAAGAAGCAGGTGGTTTACTGTGATGACAGACCTGTGGATAACTGGAGAAAAATCCTGAAGCCTGTGTAACGGCTCAGTATGTGGCTTCAGACTGGCAGCTTAATTACCTCCCTGAGACACTATATTTTCCACATAATTACACAGCAAAGCCTGCCACTAGAATGATGGAAAATCTCCCTCAGGTATCAAAAACAGAGGTTTTTTTGGAAATACAATAGACAATGCTAAGACAAGTCAAGTTTTAGGAGAATTCCCATTGTGTTGAATTTTCACATTTTGGCTGCGGATCAGGTCCAACCATTTCCAAAGTTGTCAAAATGCCAGCAGTAGAATTTGCCGTGAAAACAGTTGTCTGCAAATGACGTCTCTTGAGGCTGGAAGCAGAAATGAGAGTCAAAGATGAAACGGGGAGAGGTGAACATGCTCGGGGGTGCACTGAGCCACAATGTGATCATTAAATGTGGATCAACAAGTGAGATCTATTCCTGAATGGTGGAGCAGCTGAAGGCCGCTTGTGTTGCTCTGGTATGAGATGATAAAAATAAAACATCAGTGCGGACATTTCTCATAAATGCATCTGTATCAGTAAACCCTAAAATGTGGGGTATCGTCCACACCAAAGCCTACCTGCACTTCTGTCTTCTCACTACTTCAGCTTTGTTCTGTTTTGTGTTAGTTATGCAGAAATTGATGCTGTTCTTAATTAACTAAATTTCCTGAAGAAAGGTAAGAAAGGAAGTGGCTTGCTTTTTAAACACCATGAAAAGTTGCCTGATTGTGTTTTTTTTTTTTTTTTTTTGCTCTATAACAGAAACTGCTTGACTGCAGATTTGTGCTCTGCAGTAAGTTGCAGAAGTGAAGCTAATTTAACTTCATCAGGTAGTCGAAATAATTATGACCGCTAAAACTTTAAATGTCTGCTCTCTTCTAATTACAGTAAGTGGAGTACATGCTCTCCAGGCTTAATGACATCCATAAAATGTTGAAATAGAACGCAGTAGAAAGAAATATCTGCACTATCTACCCAGAAACAGAGTGTACTGCCTCTTTGGGAACCAGGCTGTTTTAAAATGCACCTTTCTACCTAATTTACCAACATTAACAATTTAGCACACCTTCTCTGTTCAGGCAGGCAGCAAAGCAAAATGTATGATTTCTTGAATTATACATTCACACAGGGACATAATGATTAATTTTTCTCATTATGTTTGTTTAATATCTGGTAGAATTGCGATTGACAATGCTTTACAGTTGCTCTCATTCTTCCTGCCTTCTACTCAGTCTGAAAAATTACACTGAGATAAGGAGGTAAACACAGCTGGAGAAAAAAATGTGCCTCATGTACAGTTTACCTCAAATGTCTGCCAGTAGGTATGCACAAGGAACAAACTTAGTCACAGTTAATAAGCGTAATCTCAGATCAGACAGACTGGGCTGGCAACCAAACCAACCCCAAGGTTTCCTCAGAAATGCTCGATGCTGACAGACAGATGCTCAGATTTTATACCACCAGTCGCTATGTAGGGAGAAATTGGCCACTTTCTGTACTGTTTATACTTTTTATATTATATTCAAAGGACTCTTGATTCGGCACATCCATCCAAGTGTGCTACCTCCTGACTTATTTTCTCTCTGCAGATATGTTGCGGCGAGTTGTGCGACAGAGCAAGTTCCGCCATGTCTTTGGTCAGGCCGTGAGGAACGACCAGTGCTACGATGACATCCGCGTGTCCAGGGTCACATGGGACAGCTCCTTCTGTGCCGTCAACCCCAAATTTGTTGCCATCATCATAGATGCCAGCGGGGGAGGAGCCTTTCTTGTCCTTCCTCTACAAAAGGCAAGTGACGTTTCTGCCACACTTTCAAAACTATCTTTTTAAAGGACGAGCCACGAGTTCACATGAAGTATTCAAAAAATCTAAAAATTGAAATTGTAAGGGTTTTTTAAAGGTCCAAATAAAATGTCCCTCATTTACCTGTGATGTACTGTATTTCACACTCAGTTCAGCTGATATGTAAAAGTCCTTCTCACATGATTTAAACCAGCACTCTTCAGTTCTGGACCTCAAGGTATGGTGTTCTTAAACTGTCAGGTAGGAATAAATCACTGCGTTTCACTGGCAGCTGCAGACCAACACTGGACACAGAGGGTGTAAAGGATACCCAGAGATACAAGGCTTGTACTGTCTGAGTATGCTGTATCATAGTATAGCATTCAGAGCATGTAACTAATCAATACTATAGGCTTTTTCTCTGTCAGTAGACCTTCGGGACACTGCTGCTGTGACCCCGTCCAGCCGTCCCCTGAGGCTCGTATCTATAGTAAAAACCATAGATAATCAATGCCTGATAGTAAAGGCATCCAATCTGTATCCTGTTACAGTTGGCTCATTGAACACATGATAGTCACAGAGGGGGTGGGTGCTGCTGTGCCATTGTTATAGGCCACTGGGTTAATTAATGTTTTCAAGGGCTGAAGAATTAATGGAAATATTATCGAAATCACAATGGGTAAAATGTGGGACAAAATAGCAGATAAAGAAAACATGTTTGTTTGGGACAAATGTCACACAATCATAATTTTATCCTTTTTTAAAAAGTAAAAATAAAAATAAATTCCCACAAATCACACCGCAATCGCAATATCTGTCAAAATAATAATAATAATAATTCTATAATTTTTACCATATCATGCAGCCCTAATGTGTTCATTGTATAGTGGCCTGTCTCTGATAGATGTCTATCCATGATGACAATGGTCATAATAATACCAGTACTGTGTGTCCTCACAGTAAAATTATTTGGGGTCATAATGTGTCCCAAGGATCAAACTTCTGCATGACACTATAAATTACTTTCAGTCGAGTTTAATTGTTTGAAAATGTGTAATTATGATTTTAGCTCTCAGTGTCAATTGCTCGTTTTTATAGCGTGACGACGTGTGTGTGTGTGTGTGCGTGTGCGTGTGTGTGTGTTTTAAAGTTACAATGGGATGTTCAGAGAAGAGCCATAAAGTGTCTTGTAGTCATGCAAAGGAGTGAATATAACTTCTACAGAATACAGGATAGTTAAATTAGGCCTGTTCGTCCGTCATTTTCCTATCTGTCCGACAGATATCAGTTTACAGAATGTTATTGCTCTTCTGCAGCTCACACTCTTTAACCCCTTTGTAACAAAAGTTGTCTTCTGTCTCACAGACTGGGCGTATAGACAAGGTCTACCCTACAGTATGTGGTCACACGGGCCCAGTGTTGGACATCGACTGGTGTCCTCATAATGACCATGTCATTGCTAGTGGCTCTGAGGACTGCACGGTCATGGTAAGGACACTGTTGAAGGATCACATGAGCTTTGAGTGCTTTTCCTGGTTTAATTATGTTTGTGTTTTAAGAGAGTAGAAATCATAACTTATATAATAAATAACTTTACCCTGATTGTTTGTCTAGAACATGTATCAGTCGGCCTAAAAAATGTCATTTTTGATTAATAATGATAGTGTTACTCTGTTACTGTTAATGATACTACTGTTGATTGCTGAAGAGTAAAAACGTGTGTTTGATTTCTAGAGAGATTTTAAGTTATTTGTATGCAAGAATCAATTAACTCTAAAAAATATATTTGTTTGGTATTTCTTATATTTTTTTGAAGCATGATCCGATGGAAGGGACAATCCATTATGTGTTGACAAAATTGAAAGGTGAAGGTGAATATGGGGAAGGGGTAAACAATAGGATAACAATATAATATATATATAATATATAATATACTGTAATCTGATTTTTGGAGCTTGTACAGTAATATTAAATATATGTTGAATTCAATATATTTTCAGTACTTAAGGCTCTTTAGTTTTCCTGTACACACACTGTCAAACCCGACTCATCCAGTAAGACGAAGTAATGCTGTCTGTGTTGTGTTGTACAGAATATGAACATAATCAGCAATAACACATAGCCATAATCTACTGTACTCCTGTAGTCTACTCTTCAGTGTACAGTACTGTAGCTCCTAAAGTTCTATGTCTGGTATGTAACCGTCTTTCTGTCTGATTCAGGTGTGGCAGATCCCCGAGAACGGGCTGGAGAATCCCCTTTCAGAGCCTGTGGTTGTGTTAGAGGGCCACTCTAAGAGGGTCGGCATCGTGTCCTGGCATCCCACCGCTCGCAACGTTCTCCTCAGTGCAGGTAACCTTTAACTGAGGCCTGTGATTTCCCCTTCCCACCTCGTGCCCTCAAACTGAAGTATCCGTTTAGATAATTGTCTGCCATTTGTCGACTGTGCACAGCTGAACTCCAAATCTGACCCGTTATGTGACAGATCGCCTTCGGTCGAGTTGCTTTGTGTGACATAAAGTGCTTAAAATAAACTTGGATGCAGAGGTGTGTGTAGTCAGGCTGTGCCGCATGTGTCCATTTTAGGGTGCGACAACCAGATCGTCATTTGGAACGTGGCCACGGGAGAGGCCATGATCAACCTGGAGGACATGCACCCCGATGTTATCTTTAGTGTCAGCTGGAGCCGCAATGGCAGCCTACTCTGCACCGCCTGCAAGGACAAGAAGGTCCGCGTCATCGACCCCCGTAAAAAAAAGATTGTCGCGGTAAGTGGAAACCCTGCAGGGGGATTTGGAGCTAGGATGCCTCACGTGTGGAGTAATGTTTCCCAGAATCACCCACCAAAGCCTACAAACATGGCTGCCCAATCTGACAAGTGTGTTTCTGTTTTTCAGGAGAAGGACAAAGCTCACGAGGGAGCCCGACCAATGAGAGCAATCTTTTTAGCAGACGGAAACATTTTCACCACTGGATTTAGCCGCATGAGTGAGCGCCAGCTAGCCCTGTGGAAAACTGTACGTCACCGGAGTGAATCTCATTTAATCCCGAACACACTGATACAGCACATAAACAAGGCTGTTTATATGAGACTTGACTGAACCTCGTGCAGTACCTGCCCATGATACAAGTCCAAATATTGTCAGGGGTTTACACCAGTTTCTCCTGTGCTGCCTGAACATGGAGGATTATTTTTATCACATTAAACCTTAATTGTCATTACACCATAGCTCCAGTTGGGGGCGTTAAAGTCAAAGGCTAATACTAACAGTGATTTTACTTCATACATCATTTTGTATGTATGATTTGTTCATTATTGGCTAATTGGTGAGATATATGCCAGGCATTGAGCACAGGAGCCACTAATGCATACATACTATTGAACTGAAATCATGGGCAGTAAATAATATAACTCAAGGGTCTACCACACTTTAGTATCCCTCCAAATACTGAGTTTTGTGTTTCCAGGAAAACATGGATGAGCCGATATGTGTTCAAGAAATGGACTCGAGTAACGGAGTTCTGCTGCCCTTCTACGACCCCGACACCAGCGTAGTTTACCTGTGTGGAAAGGTGAGCATCCTTGTAAAGACTTTTTAAAGCGTTTTGTTTCCCAATTGTAATAATTTGATTAATAAACTGACTTTGAGCTGCGACTATGTGTCCTCAGGGTGACAGCAGCATTCGGTACTTTGAGATCACTGATGAGGCGCCGTTTGTTCACTACCTCAACACCTTTTCCACCAAGGAGCCCCAGAGAGGCATGGGATACATGCCCAAAAGAGGCCTGGATGTCAACAAATGTGAAATCGCAAGGTACTGCAGCCACTGTGTTTTTTTTTACTTTGGTTCAGGTATTTTGTGGAGCACAAACATTATGGAGCTAACATACAGCATAAGGCTCATCATCTTTGATTTCTATAGAATCTGTCTGAAAAATACCCAGAATTTGTTTAATAAGAGTCAGTTTAGACATAACTATGGCTGAAGCACACGATTATTTTCTTCATCGATTAATGTACCGATTGTTTCTGAATTCATTGTTTGGTCGATATAATCAGTCAGAAAATAGCGAACCATTTTCCAAAACCCAAGTAACATATTTAAGTGTCATGTTTTGTCCAAACAACAGTTCAAAACCTGAAGATATTCAGTTTATAGAAGATAAAATATTCACATTGTATAAGCAGGAACCAGATCATTTTCAGCGTTTTGCTTAAAAAACTGTTTTTTATTGGGCTCGATTGCCTTTCCTGCGCGTTGTCCCCTCTCTTTTTCACTCCCTCCTTTTCCTGTCACTCTTCAGCTGTCACTATCAATTAAAGGCAATAAAAGCCACCCAAAATTTGTTTTTGCTTAATATTCTGTCAATCATCTAATTGATTAATCCACTAATTGTTTCAGCTCTAGATCTCACTATAGTCTTCTGTAAACAAGTTATATTTACTGTAGAGATATAGATACAAGATGGTGAAAAACTTCTGTGTGTGGGACAGACTTTTAAACTGAAAAGGTTTTACAATCTGATTTTATATGATTATCATTAATTTTTTTTAATTATTTCAAACTTATTTTATATATTGGTAAGTTTAAGTTTAAATTATTATAAGTACTCTTATTGTTGTCTCTGAGTGTCTGTTTCTCTATATTTTTCATTTTGCAGTGTTGCTGTGTATGATATTAATCATACAATATTAATCTTCTCTGTAGGTTTTACAAATTACATGAGAGAAAGTGTGAGCCAATCATCATGACAGTCCCACGTAAGGTAAGTCTGTTTTTCTGTCAAGTAATAAATATGCTGTTCTTTCAGTGCTGCTATAGTGTCCCCTCCTCCCCTCATGACACTTCCTGTGTCCTCTCCACCCGCCCAGTCGGATCTGTTCCAGGACGACCTGTATCCCGACACTGCCGGCCCCGATCCCGCCCTGGAGGCAGAGGAGTGGTTCGCAGGGAAGAACGGAGGCCCAATCCTGATCGCACTCAAAGATGGCTACGTCTCCACAAAGACCCGGGATCTGAAAGTGGTTAAGACGAACGTCCTGGAAACCAAGCCAGCCACAAAAGCAGAACACATCTCAACTGTCCAGAAGCATGTTTCTCCACAACCCTCAGTGGTGAGTGTGAATGTATAAACATGTCATGTCTCAGAATCATGTTTCCTTTGACTGTAGATTTTATTTTTGTTTCTTATTTCTTATAAGGTTCTTACAGATGATTATTACTGTTTCCTCTCAGAAAAACTGTAGCACTATTCAAACTCGCACACAGCATTTTCTGCTGACATTTAAACTACCCCGTTCACAGTAATTATTATGGTTGGAACAATTCACAAAAGTTATGGATCAGCAAATACTTTGGTATTTGGGTCACAATTCAGCAAGGGAAACTGCTGGAGGGCTTCAGTGCCTGTAAAATCGCTGCTCATTTTGCCAGGAAATTTCATTTTGAAGTAGATAAGATACAGTAATTATCACCCACAAAGTCTACTCCTCTTTAAGAGTCAAATGAGAGGTGTGAAGAACTTGATCAAGCTAACTTTTCTTTCCATTTTTTTAACCAGAAAATGGAAGATAAACTGGAAGAGGTACTCCGAGAGTTCAAGTCACTCAGGGACCGTGTCATCCTCCAAGATCGTCGAATCGCCAGACTGGAAGAGCAGGTTGCCAAGGTGGCCATGTAAAGACGCGGGCCCCTTCCCAGGACCGCTCGTTGATTCGGAGAGAATCGAATGGACGGAGTCCGCCACCGGCCAAATTCTCAAAAGATTCGGCTTCATTGAGCTTGACGTCGTCCCCCGCGATGAGACCAAGCCTACATTCCAAGATTAACATTATTTTTTTTTCCTCATCAAGTCTCACACTTTGCCCTGACTCACACACAGAGAAAAGGAAGAACTCTCGCAGCTCATGTACACATTTGAAGAAAAGACATTTTTGTTGAAGGAAAAGTCTTAATTTTTTTTTTTTTTTTTTTTTTTTTTTTTTTTTTTTCAAATTTGTGGTAAAACATTCTCATGTGAAGTTTGTACTTACTACTCAGAAAACTGTATGTAGCATCAGTATTTCCATTGTTACTTTTTTGTGTTGCCAAATATGAATCGTGTGTGGTTTCATGCACTGCTTTTACATATATTTTCCCTCCTGTTGTACATTCCAGTCACAACCTGGTAGATTGATTTAGTCAAGCTGGATTTTTTAAAATAATCAATAGCTGTTGAACCCTTTTTCCTCCCACCAGTTTGCTCATTGATAACCATCAGATTTATGAATGTGGAAGAATTCCTGGATTCTTCTTTTTGTTCCTGTTCTTCTGGGCTTGAAATTTAACGTTTGGTTTTATTGGGGAGGGGTGGGTGGGGTGGGGTTGCATCTCTCTGGTGTAAATGTTGTGCAAATGTAGTGGTGCCTCTTGTCACTGTTAAGGGTCAAACTTAAGTCACCCTCTCCAGTGCATATTTGGTGTTGGGAAGGGACCACTCACCTAGCTTGTGTTTCACCGAACCCCAGACAAACAGTTCTGTGCACATAATAAAGATTTTACACATGAAAACCTGTATTTTTTCCCCCCCTTTCTTTATATTGTTTTGGCTTCTATCAACCTTTATCCCGGCAGAGCTCTTTGTGTGTCAGTGGGCGCATTAATTCAATTTCACTTCTGCTATCAGATATGGATATGAAATCTCAGCCAGTGGAGTAAAACGTAACGGTTTCTGTCTGCCGTGGATGTGCTATATATCTGAGCAACTTATCAGTCAGCATGTGGTGCCAAGAAAGAGATCTGATGACTGCTGAACAGTGGAGGACTAACGTTTACTCAAAATACCTCAAATAGGGTACTTGGGGTTTTCCATTTTAGGCCACTTTATACTTCTACTACAGGAAAAAAAATTCTATTTATTCCACTACATTTATTTGATAGGCCAATACTTGCTAGTGTGCACATTATTATTTCCATACAAACTTCTGAAAATACAGAACATATGATCGTTATGAGCACTATCTGGGATGGTAGTTATTGATGATTAAAGAAGAAACATGAAAGCACTCAATGAAAGGCTGTAACGAACCATTTTATTGATTAATCGGCAGACTATTCTCTTGATTAACTGGGTAAAAAATGTGAAAATAGTAAAAAAAATGTCCATGACTGTTGATGTCTTCAGATAGTTTGACAGCCCAAACTTATTCAATCTACCATGTAGACAAATAAAAGCAGCAAATATTCACACTGGAGAAGTGGAGAACTTCCAAAATGGCTTAAACAACTTTCTATTGACTGATCAATAAATCGACTAATTGTTTCAGTTCTATCTCAACCTCAGTCACAACCTCTATCAAAGCCTACAACCTGCTTCAATTAGCTGCTACTTCTTCTCCTTGCCTGATGGTGGTGCTAACACAGCAGTCCTTAAAATGATCAGCAGTGGCTCCTCTGCTATTCTGACTGTTTTTGTTTTGTTTTTACATCAAGGGAATTTCCTCCTCACAATCTATGAAGTATAGGATAATTGTGTCTCTTTGCACCTCAAACTCTTAAATTAAACTCTTAAAATCTAAATTTGTACTTGAGTACAGTACTTCAATAACTATACTTTCCACCACTGGGGAGAGCCAGGCAATGACCCTCAGTGGACTACATAACAGTGCTGAACCATGAAAATCATCAACTATCATACTTTAGTTACCACAATAGCTGGTATTATTCCTAATATTGCCAACGTGCCCCCACCTAATTCTGTGTTTAAATTAACTGAATTATCTAAAGACCGAACAGGAAGAACTTTCACATGATGGACAATCAGGCAGAAGCATTGTAGTACTATCAATAAATCAAATGTACTTAAGGGCTGTTAGACATATTCCTAGAAAAGCACTGAGGGACATCTGTGACTTACAGCAATACTTATTGATGTTGCATCTTCAGATCAGCAAATATAGAGCGGAGCAGCAGCACTATCCTTCCTGTGTCAAAGTCATTTCCAAATATATTAATGTATTTGATCCCATTCAGTAGTGTGTGTGTGTGTGTGTGTGTGTGTGTGTGTGTGTGTGTGTGTGTGTGTGTGTGTGTGTGTGTGTTTTCACAGCATGGCAACGTTCAAAACACACAGAAAAAGAAGTGTATCTTTGTATCACCTTTTTTTCAACACTTTTTTAAAACCATATCTCAATATGACTCAACAGTGCAGGAAATGGTTACAACACAAGAAGATTATTTCTGTTTCCTCACAGGGTATAAATTTGTCAGTCGAAGCTTTGAATTGCGCCGGGACACCAAATCAGGCATCAAACCGCCATACTTCAAACCCAGTGATTGCATGGACTTTCTGATTGATTACTTGGTTTTCAGCTTATTTTATTTCTGGGTGTGATACACTTGTCCTCGTGTAGCTGATCTTTCATCACTGTGGTCTGCTATCAGTGCCTTGAAGTTCCTGAGTTCCAATTTTTTTACTCATAGGACACACAGCTATAAATCTTAAACAAAAGTGTCATCAGACGTGGACGTACGAGAAACATCTCATTACAGAACTGAGTACTTCCTGCTACTTTATATAAAGTAGCACTCAGAACATCAGGACATACGGAGCAAACATGCTCTGGCGCACAGCAGCACCTGAGCTCTTCTTAACTTTCCATCAATGAGGTAAGACACATCTCCTGCCAATTAATATATATAAGATCTTCAAATATAGCACCTGAGTTGATGTAGAAGCTACAGACAGAGTTTACTTCCTTTTTGATGCAAACTAAAGCTGTTGGTTTCTAAGGGAAGTGTTTGTTCTTATCTGAAAGTGTTATAGTACAGGTTTTTTTTTTTTTAAAAAGTGTGAACATTTCCTGTTTCTTCTGTAAAGCAGTGCTATAGTCGGTGCTCCGAGGATGTTCACCCAGAGAGACTGAAATGAGCTGAACTCAACTTTTATCAGATATTTATCCTCACATCCACCACGTCTGCTTCACCAGCAGCAAGGTAAGACACTGACATGTGTCTCCAAGGACACGTTTAAAACCTTTGTACTGGTTAAATGTCGCTGGTTTGGGGGTCCACTGTTTCCTTTTATGCAAAGTGTTAGACAAAGTTAACTTCCTGCCCTCTAAAAATGTTATTTACTATTAGAATTTGTGTCACAAAGGAAGTTGGTTTATCTACGTTGTGTACTTCCTAACTAACTCTGGACCCTTTGCTGCAGAAAATACAGAAAAATGAACATTAAATGTGGATTCTGCTTGTATAGACTGCCAGATTTACTTAAAAATGCAGTAGTTCTGTTTTTTTCTGTGAAAATGTAGCAACGGGTGTGGTGAAAGCCACATGACCACTTCATCATAAGATGCCACTCGACGACACACAACACATGGCCTGACAAGATTATTCCTTGTGTTTGTTTCTTTTTACTATAACATCTATAACTCTTTAATAGTTTTGTAATACATTTTAATCTTTCCTTTTCAGGTCTTTGGAACAACAATGATGCTGCTCAGCATGAATACGTATCTGGCTCTGCTATGGGGAATATTTGTTTTGTTATCTACGGAGTCCATGAGTGTTTCCATACCAGTAACCGGCAGAATTAACACAACCACTGAACCCAACAAGACAACCAAGCAGCTGCCGTCAATCAGTGCACACGTGGTTCATAAAGAAACAGAGACGCAACCTGCGACCCAGCAGCCAACTCACAAACCTGCAGAAGCTTCTGCAACAGCAAACACAGTTTCCCCTCCGACACCCACAATAGAAACGGAAGAGGCCACTGTCGCTGAGAGCTCAAATGACATCACAGCTGGTTTGGTTTCCATGAACACTGCAGCAGAAACTACAAACAGCTCACGTCCACGACTGCTTGATATCTCCACAGCAGTGAGCACAGCTGCAGGTGAACCTTCCCTTAGCACGACGATCTCAGAAACAGCAAAACCTACAGAGGGTCAGTTGCATCAGCAGTCACCCACCACTCCGACTGACATGAATTCTTTCTCTGCAGCGACCTCTGCAGCGTTTTTATCAACAGAGACTGTGTCTTTGCCGCAGCCTACATCCACTAAGCCTGAAGTTACATTTGAGGTATCTTCAGCGACCTCTCCTGCTTCTACTCAGACTTCAGTCTTCATCAAGAACCTCAGCCGTTCTTCAGCTTTTACTACAACTACAATGACAGAGAACCCCACCTCTGAGGCAGCGCCTGTGTCTGACCCCACTTCCATGCCTTTCACAGTCAGTGAGACCACCACCAGCACTGAGCTTTCATCGACGTCTCAGCCCATGTCTGTAATGAGAACCCACATCTCCACATCAGCGAACAACGCTTCTGAGGCAGCGCCTGTGTCTGACCCCACTTCCAAGCCTTTCACAGTGAGTAAGACCAGCACTGAGCTTTCTTCGATGTCTCAGCCTGTTTCTGTGACAAGAACACACGCCGCCACTTCAGATGTTACTGACACAGTAGGGTCGAGCTCTACCAGTGAGCCTCCCACTATTTTGTTCTCAAACAATTCTGCCACCTCCACCGCTGCCTCCACCAGCCCCATAGGGATCTTCAGCCCTCATGAGCCCACAACGTCACAGATTTCAATGAACAAATCAACTCCGGCAACTACGACAGCGCCGTGTGAAGCCTCAGAGAGCCTTCCCAGCTCCACAGTCCACCCCTGTTCCAGCCGGGGCGTGGTGAAGCACTGCCTCATCACCATCGCCGCCCTGGCTGGGTTGGCCACCGTTTTCATGGTTACTACCATTGTCCTCTGCACCAAGCTGTCAGCAAGGAAGTACAAGGTCAAGAAGCCTTCACAGTCTACAGAGATGATATGCATCTCGGCCCTGCTGCCTGAGAGGACTCAAACCTACACGAGACAACGCAACCCAGTGCCTAACGGTGTCCTGGTGATCCACCATGGGGGAGACAGTGATGAGGATGGAGGAGATAACCTCACTCTCAGCAGCTTCCTTCCAGAAAATGACCGCTATGTGTAGGCAATATCGTTATTATTATCAAGTAGGCTACGTGCTTTCATCAGACCTCAGATTGGACTGATCTGTCTGATGTCAGTGATGTGGAAACAGTTGCTGTTTGAATAAATGCATACTTCCCCTTTGATGCTGGTGGTTTGGCTTCACTGCACGCCCTATTTCTGTTGAGGAAGAGACACAGAGACCGCACAAAAAATAAACAGTTACTGTGTATTTTTACACTTCGTAGTTTTACACTTACTCTCCACTAGAGACTTTATGTCAGGATGAAGACAGTGATCAAAGATTAAAAAAAAAAAAAAAAAAAAAACATCCTGAACTGAGCCCTGATGGTGTTTCACTTAGCAACAGGAGACAGGAAGGCTTGTTTCTTTGTTTGGATTACTGTTCTTCACAGACACTGTTCAGTTTACAAGTGCTATTCTGGTAGCAGTGAGGCTTAACTGTATGAATGCTTGTTATTTGACTAATGGTAAACGTTTGGGTGTTTGTGTAGAGATGGACTTTCTGTTCCCAGGATAATTTATTAATGTCTTATTTAACAGACTGATAACAGTTTATTTTACAGGTCTGTTATTGTCTAATAATTTCTCCCAACCTTTCTGGAAAGTACTATGTAATTTGGTAATCATTTTAGGGAACATGGTTCACACACTATTAGTTTAGTCAGTTGTTGAAGTCCCTTGAAAGAAACTTCTCCATTAAAACCTAAGAAAAGATTCTTGGTTACACAAGCATAGCATTCAATAAGAATTGATTATTTGAACACATTCTGTATTTTTTCTGATTATCAGTGGCAACATCTTTTTAAGGAGATTATTAGAAAATGATTAGACTTTATGGACCTGTAAAATAAGGTTTTACCAATGTTTTTCTTGCTTGTTCCCTTCAACAGATATCTGTTCTCTCTGAAATTTTAAATAAAAATGTGTTCTGAGTAAAACAGATCAACATTTGCACTGTTCAACATAAGAGCTCAAGTGAAAGGTTTTTTTGTTCCACATCCTTATGTGTCTTTAAATAGTTAATAGTCATAATAAAACTGATCGCTCTGGACTAAGACAGTTCCCTTATTTATGAAAGGCTTTATAAAAGGCTTTTATTCTACCCTGGACTGGATTTCATATTCACTTCCCTTCCTGCATAAAGCAAACAGAGCCCTGAATGCTTATTAAGGCCATGAAACCATGTTTTTCTTCTTCTTTTTTTTTTTTACGTTCAGCAATGTGCAACCAAAACAGACACCGGTGACTATCAACAGAGCTGAGACAAATGTAAACCTGGAGGATGCAGGACCTCATCTCAGGGTTCTGATGACCATATAAAGCTAGACTCGTCTTGACTGATCACAAACACAGCAGACATGCCAAAAATGCATTCACACACACACACACACACACACACACACACACACACACACACACACACACACACACACACACACATGACTTGTAGGCTCACTCATACGCAGTCACACTCTCCCTAAAGTAGTCACACACACCGTGTGAGTTTAATTGCTTGCCTCTGGAGAAAAATCCCCCTTGTCTTGGCTGTTACGGGTGTTTTGTCCACACAGGAAACATTAACCTCTTCCTGCTTTAGCTGGTCAATCTTACAAGCTGCTCTCTGACTCTTAGGCCTGCTGTTAGTCATCAGTGTCAGAGGCTGAGGTTACAGGAAGGGCCAGGCTGTCAATCAGAGGCTCCTTCTGCAGAAAGCACAGAGAAATACTTTTTAAAGAGAACTTAAGTTGTTGATGGAGATGGGTTGGTTTGTGATGTTTTTATAGTCGTAAAGTATTCTTTCTTTTCCATCCTGACAGCGTTGTCTTGGTCTTGCACATCCAGTTAGCCACACAGGAGAGTGGAGGGGAGGTCCCTGCCCCCACACCACATTATAAAGTCCTACCTAACAAGAACAATCTGTGTGCAGGCTGGAGAGCTCAGACACTCTTGGGGAAACTGAAGGGGGAGGAGAACAGTGGAGAAGCAGAAGGAGGGATTTGTCCTCATGGTTAACGACATCTCTTTTTTTTTTTTGCACTACCCAGACAAACCTCTGGCCTGAAATCTGAAACTGCAGAAGTGGCGTGGCTCACTGAGCATTTGCCACTCTTTTCTGTGCTCTCTCTCTCTCTCTCTCTCAGTTCACTTTTTCCAGACTGGCTGCACTCATCCTCACAGGGGATTCCAACGGAAAAACACTTCTGCCACAGTAGATGGTAAGTCACTCCATGTAGATTTTCCTTAAAATGTATGTTTTCTTTCTTTGAATGTTGCATACTGAAGAAGCACTGGGGTTTCTTGACATCATGTGAGGTCACATGTCAATTGAAGTGACTGATGTGACAGCATCATGATGCTTTCAGAGCAGCATCCAGCCTCAGGAAGTAAGAACACTATTAAAAGTTAGAGTCAATCTTTTGTGTCAGTTTTAGACGTTAAAGTGGCCCAAAGACAGAATCTAGGTTTGTTGTCAAACAAAAAATGTAAAATTTGTTGAGTGACAATTCATTGAGTGTGTGTATTTACATATGACTGCTTTATGTGCCTATGTTTATGAGTGTGATGGCATGTGCGGCTGTGTATATTTGGTCTGGGGTGAGTGTGTGATTAATTCTGAAAGAAAAACCTCCCACCCCCCTTTTTCCAGATGAGAGCAGAGTTACATGTGGCCCAGCTTGCACACAGATGGAGCAGAATAAGGATAAAAGTGTGGGAGCTTTTGCCAGTTGACACACAGACTGAGCAGAGAGCTGATTGTGATCAAAATAAATAAGTAGAGCAAACTAAAGCAGGGTTTTAAAAGTCGGTTCACCCAATTTGGTAAAAGCATATTTCCCCATATAGCCCCTGTGGTATCCAGCCGTGCAGATAGTTTTGGTTTTGTTTGCCTTTCTTTAGAGATATCCGTCTCTGAGTTCTGCTGCCACCCAATACCACATGGGGTACTTATTTCAGTACACAATATTGGAGGTTTGATGCCGTTTATATGGATGTTTTCACCAAATGGATCTTTACTTCTCAACAGAACTGTGTACTGGGCCCACTATGTGTTAGCATTACATCCAAGTTACAGAGCTAAGCATCCATTTTGCAGACGACAGAAAGTCTTTTAACAACACATTTGCTATTCTGAAGAGTCTTGGAAGTCCAACTGGATGAAAATATATTCTGTTTGCTGCAAAATACAAAATAAGTTTAACCCATTTCCCAGTTTCGACCATATTAAATATTAAAAACACACAAATACAATAATACAAAGTAACATCATTATAGACGAATATAACTCATAATAAGACTTATTTATAATTCTGTTTCTTGTACAATCTTCAGTGGACAGAATATTTTGTCATCCAGATGGTCAGAAGAGTCTTGGAAGATACTGGAAATGTTCTCCAGAACAGCTGAAAGTGTTGTTTAATGACCTCCAGGGTTTTTCCAGAGGTATCTACAGGTATTTATTTTTCAGAAAAACAGATGCCCAGCTCCGTGACTTAGATGTAATGGCAATACATGAGAGGCACAAACTGTCTTCACATATGGCACTGACATTTACTCACGTCTACTGTTATTTCCAGATCCTGAGGGGAAACGATGCTCCCGATGGCCCTTCGTCTGATTGGTTTGAGTGTTGTGTTTTTCATCAGCAGAAGCTCGGCCACACCTCTACCTTTTTACAGTTCTCTAGAGGGAAGTACAGATGAGGAAGAACTCAGTAACATAACTTCCTTTCTGCCCACCAGCAATGTTTCCTCTGAGTACCAAACCACACCTGTTGGCCCCACACACGTGGAAAGTGACTTTCTAAGTCAAGTTGTGAACTTTCTGCAGGAGAACATGCTCCTTATCCTTGTTGCAGGCACTTTCATCCTCCTTGTCTTCCTTATTATCTGTGGGGCAATTTTCATGAGCCGCAGGCGCAAAGTCAATGCCTACTACCCTTCCTCCTTCCCCTCGAAAATGTATGTGGACCACAGGGACAAAACCGGAGGTGCTAAACCCTTTAATGAAGTGCCAGAAAAACCTGCTCCTGAGCAGAAAAGTGAAACAGTGGACTCTCACAAACAGCTCCAGGCAGACATTATGAGGGCAGCCAAGAGTCTGCGCACACCAAATAAATCTGTTGATGCTGCAGAGGGAGGTGGCTCCAGTCAGAAAGTAGCAGACCACAGTCCCGAGGACAGCTCTAAACCAGATGGCAGCATCCTGGACCAGCAGCTACCAAGTCTCCCCGAGGAAAAGGAGTTGTGTGAGCTCTCTGAAAGTGAAGCAGCTGCATCGGCAGGCAGCCCTCAGCTGAATGCTCCAGAGGATCCAGAGGAAGACGATTCACGGGAGCCTCTGACTGGTAGGAGTCTGCGGCCCTCCTCTCTGCATATTCACAATGACTCTGCTACACTTCAGCTGATTGCAGGAGAGAAAACTGCCTTCTAACTATTCTGAACAGTGACCTGAATGTATATTTTTTATGCTTTGAATTCATGAGTGACAATTTGTCCAGTAAACCTTTTAAAAAATGTCTATAAGGGAAAAGCAGGAAAAAGTTGCTAAATGACAATCATGTGGGGGTTTTTTTTTGCAATATTTTATGTTTATATTCAGTGCAGGAAAGATACGTATAACAGCCTGTTGCTTTGCACTGACTGGATATATTATTCATGCCATATAACATTAACATCTGGTACAAAACAAATGTATTTTTATGAGGTGATTTCTGTGTCGTTCAAAGAGATCTCACTTAGTGTGCGCGTAAGAACCACTTCAGTAAACATTGTGATATGTTCTTGTACTTTGTATTTCTGTGCAAAACAGTGAGTGTTGACAATGTTTTACAGATCAGTATTTGAATATTTAAGATTAGTCAAGTATAGAAAACAAGAGATCATTGCAAACGTTTTGGCATTATAGCAGGAACTGCAAAGGTGTAATCGATAGCATTTATGATTACATTTCATTTAGGTGAACCAGTTCAGTTCAGTTCAGTTCAGTTTAGTTTATGAAATATTCAGGCTGCTCAAAGTAATAAACTGCACTCAAAACACACAGTGTGATTCAAGATACTTTTATTGCAGACTGTCAAGGAAGCATTACTAAATAATTATAAATTAATCTTAAATTCAGTGGACCCTCTCATTGTTTGAAGCCACTTTGCATATCAAAAGGTCAGTGTTTGGGAGTGCAGGTGGATACTGAAAAAGCTGTCAGCTTTATTCACCATCTCCATCACACCATTCAAAATCAACACTCCTCAAACTTAAAACAATCTCAAAAATAAGGCTCAGCTTTTGTACCAACAACCCAAACAGTGTTTACACATTGTGCGTTTATGTGACAGGCTAAAAGGTACAGTATACAGGGTTAAAGGACAGAAAGCCTGGTGTAACACAGCTACATAGGGTTGACGATGGTGTACATATCGTCAACGTTATACTATAATATTTCAGGAAAGTGAGGTGGCCATGCTGGACCACTGCTACTTCTCTTCTTGGCAGCAGGAAGCAAGTGGCGCCCAGCTCAGAGAGCGAGTGCTCCGTTTAATTGCTGGCCCTGACTGCCTCCTGCTGGTCATCCTGTTGCTTGAGGCGATAGTCAGCCAGGGCAGCCTTGATAGCGTCCTCCGCAAGCACTAAAGGAGAAACAATTAGAGGTTAAATACATGCATGTGTGGAGCAGTCCGTAATATCATTAGAAAAAATTAAATGAAAACTTACTAGAGCAGTGAAGTTTAACTGGTGGAAGACAGAGCTCTTTGGCAATGTCAGTGTTCTTTATCATCAAAGCTTCGTCCACCTGGAAAGAAAAGCACACAGCTCCAGTATCCACAAAAACCCTTCCAGTCGATGATAAGACACGAGCAGGGCAGAATAAGTAAGAGGCAGAGAAAGACGTGTCAAGTCTGTAGTGTGTTCACTCACAGATTTTCCCTTCACCCACTCGGTGGCCAAAGAGCTGGAGGCAATAGCAGAGCCGCAGCCAAAAGTTTTGAACCTGGCATCCACGATCTTCCCCTGGTCATCCACCTCAATCTGTCAAAATGAGAAATTTAGAGCTTTACTCAAATGCCAACAGGGGAAAAGACTCCATTTTAGAAGTCTACAATTCTTAAAAACTGCATGTTGCCATTTCTTTTTCAAACAGTGGATTAAAATAAATATTTCTATCCCTGAAAATAAATGCTTTATACTAATACTAAACTCTATGTAAGACTTAGTGCTATCTACTTGGTAAAGAATGTTATTCATCAGTGCTCCGTGTGTGTAGCTCTTCCAAGTACTTTAACTGTGTTCGTGTATATATATATATATATATATATATATATATATATATATATATATATATATATATATATATATATATATATATATCAGGCTTAATGGCTGTACAAAAGGTTGTAATCCATCTGTGATCAGTGACAAACATACCTGCAGCTTCATTACATCTCCACAGGCTGGAGCGCCCACCAAGCCGGTCCCAACATTCTTGGACTGTTTGTCCAACGTGCCCACATTTCTTGGGTTCTCATAATGATCCACCACCTTCAGACAGGAAAGAAAGGAAGCACTGTGTTAGGACAAAAAACAATGTGCAAGTACAACAAGTGGGTTTTGGGACACTGATTAGATTATTCCACAATACAGAATTAAATGTGGTGAAGTAAGACAACAGCAGCATCCTGGGTGGGTTTTTGCCTTCTCTTATGACCATAAAAACGTCTAGAAGAAATCTTGAGGACGACTGTTATACAACTACAAGTTTTCATTATGACGTAAGGGACATTGAAATAAACAGATTAGGACCGGATTTCATTGTCAGCCATACAAGCTACAGCATCCTGCCCCCATCCTCCCCCTCCCTCCAAATTGCTGAGTCACTGTGACCGAAACAATATGAAGTGGGTGAGCTTTTACCTAAAAATTACTATATTTAATTCAGAAAATGTGATTTCAAATTAGAGTATGTCTCTGTTGGTTTGAGCTGAGGCATCCACATATTATTTAATATCTTCAGGTTCTAAAACTAATTTTATGGTGCAGAATAAAATGAGTTAAAATGTCTTTATGATCTAAAAGCTTTTTAAAAAGGTATCTTTCAGTGTACGTCTTCGACTAAAAGCAGGTAACAGGATGCTCACCAGTTATTAGCCCATGAGTACAGTGCGTCACAGCCAAAAAAAAAAGCCTCAAAAAGCTTCAATAAAATCTACATTATGTTTTAAGCCATTCAAACATCCAGGGGGTGTGAATCATCTATTCACTAAACAAATTAAACATGTATCTTCAATTCTCCACAACCCTGTGTCTCCATGTTGCATCAGACATTCACATCATACAATAACACTCAAACTGAACATGTGAATAAAGCTGTTAGATAGTGGAAAAAGATGCTGCATCCTCATGAAGATACATTTCTTTCACAGGTATAACAGAACATTTACAGGTTTCTAGCACACTGAGCTCCTTCACTGGCAGCCCTTAAAGCTTATTAATCGGATGTGATTCGAGTATTAAAGCTTTGACCAGCTGGGGGACAGATTAGTGACGTTATTTTATAGTTTTAAACTTAGTAACAAGCTAGTATAAAATATAATAATGTTAACTAATGTTTCATATTAGTCCTATTTATCCCTTCCTGTCATACTCCCTCTAGGTATTCATATAATATCAGCTAGCTTCTTGTGGTTAACCAGCTCCATATAATTACCTGAACCTACAACCACATCCACCTACTCGTTATACTCTTATTACATAAAGCTACACATGGCTCAAGGTGGCGAATAATAGTAAACATTAAGCAAACAGCAGCTAGCCCACTGTGCCGCAGCCGACTTTAATAAAACTATAACAGGTTTGTTGTTTTACCTTCTTGTGGTAGCAGCACTGGGTGATGAACTCCGGAGCAGACAGCCTCCTGGTGATGAAACCCAGAGGACTCAGACACTTCTTTGCCACTGTACCCGCCATGTTGACAGACAGAAGAATGGCGCAGTTTCAAAAGCGAAGAGCAACTTGAAGCACAGCCCCACACGTCACTGTCAGGGGGAGGAGCTAATCTCATCACATCTGCGCATGTCCAGGTGGTGGAGGGTAAACATCTGACCTGTAAAATAAAGTGTTACATAAAATAATAAGAAAAATAGTAACTGTAGCTATCAGAAATAAGTATTAACCAGCATAAAGTATATATAATTTAATACAATATTATATATATATATATATATATATATATATATATATATATATATATATATATTTAGGTGAAGAATAAGTACCTAATCATTGCAGTACATTGCTTGGTCAAATGCACTCACTTTTCACCACTGTAGGCAACCCAACAATAAACAAATAAGTAGTTCAAATTAGTTTTGTTGGTTAGTTGTCTTGTGATTGTTCTTTAAAAATAATTTACTCAGCTTTTTTTCTGTTACACAACAGCATCATATGATTTTTAGGGAACTGCACTAACAACAACACCATCGATGTCAAATGTGAGTTGAAAAATTAAATTGCTAAATAAATTAGGAGAATCTGACTCCTGTTTTATGTATTTATGTCACTTGTCGCAGGCACTGGTAGGAATTCTTGGTCTCCTGAAATAAATATATTTCACTGTTCACCATATACACTGAAAATAGAGTTGCTTGTACAAATCCCTTTACCTGAATGACTGAAAACCTTAATAGACCGTACCACTGTTTCACGGCTTATTATATGATGGTAATTAAAATCTTAGTGCAAATATGTCCTACTACAGTACAGTATATCAGAAGCTAACAGTCCTTAACACGTCTGAATACAGTTTCACAGTTACAAAGAAGTGCGAGAAAAAAGCCTCCTGCCATTTGTTGCACTAGAAGAATATATGATTTCAGGACTGTTGATTCAAGATAAAAGAGGTACAGTCGTAGTGTGTAAACATAAAACATGTATATCTACAGCCTTCGCTTATATCCTTTCTAAGTTGAATTCCAATGGACAGATATGAATTGTTTAGCTTCATGAAATAAATTTGGTTTTAAAACATTTGGTGGTTATTTTTTCTTAAAGATAATATAATTGGGAAGTTGGTAGTTCTACTAAAAGTCAAGTTACACAAGATGAAGAGAGGTTTTGATGATGTGTGATACAGTAACAGATCTGTAACACATGTTCTCTGGTACTTCTGGTAATTAAGTAATTAAAATAACCCAAAAGTGTAATTTTTGACATTATATCTTTTTACTACAGCCCTATAGTCTATAAATAAACTCATTCATTGACGACTCTCTATGAGTGATTAACAAACTATGCAATTCTGGCTAAATGAGTCACACCATTGGTTAAGAAATGTGACCTTCTGGTTTTGTGTCTTTGTGTGAAGGGGATCTCCTTTGGCAGATTGCAACAGTTTCTTATAGGCTGTTGTAAGACTTGAAATATCTAACAATGTCAGAAAACATTATTTTTTAAATTTATTTTAACCTTTGTGACCAAGTGAACCCTCTTAAAAATGCATTCACCCACAAACACAAAAACATAATATATATGTTTTTGGTAAGAGAGAGGTAGGGAGACTCTGTCTCAGCTGTTGAATGATATCGATTCTGGTGTTTTGTCTCTTTCGTCAGTAACACTGCCCAGGAAACAGAAGTGAGAAGTTGAAACTGGTCGCAAGGGAGTCAGTAGGACCTTAAGGTGGTAGCCTCGACATCGACACATAACGTGAGTACTTAGGCATATTTTATGTATTTAAAAAAAAACAAAAATTGTGATCTGTTATATTTAAATATGTGTGTATATGTTTAAAAAGAAAGACACTTGTGCTCCATATTTCAGGAAAAGTCACCAGCATGGAAGTGGATTACATTGAATACGATGATTACACTCCAGACAATGGAACTGAAAACAACTCAACCACAGCTGGACTACTGAATCTCAGTACTTCTCGAACTCCTTTGACTCATGTTCTGGTGACAGTCAATATCTTTATTTCGCTTATTGGCCTCGGAGGAAATTCATTAGTGATCTGGATCTGTGGATGGAAAATGAAAAGAACGGTCATCACCACCTGGTACATCAGTTTGGCCATTTCAGACCTTTTGTTCTGTGTCTTTTTGCCCCTGGAAGTATTCTACATGATAACTTCGCACTGGCCTTTCGGACTGGTGTTATGCAAGCTCACATCCTCCGCCCTGTTTCTCAACATGTACAGCAGTGTGTTTCTGTTGGTTCTGATCAGCACTGATCGTTGTATAATGATTTCCTTTCCTGTGTGGTCACACAACCACCGCACAGTGCGGAAAGCCTTTGGAGTCGTGGTTCTCATGTGGCTCTTTTCTGCAATCCTAACGCTGCCCTCGCTGATCTTCAGAGAAATCACAGTCCATGGCTCAGTCACTCAGTGCTACACGAATTACTCGACCCATTCCAGACACAAAGTTGTGGTACTGACTCGGTTCATCTTCGGGTTCCTGATTCCTTTCCTAGTGATTGTCTTCTGCTGCTCGGTGATTGTTGTGAAAATGAGAAATTTGACCATCAAATCAAAAAAGCCTTACAAAGTCATGGCGGCGCTCATCTTGTCATTTTTCTTCTGCTGGGTCCCCTATCATAGCTTTGTTCTTTTAGAGTTAGACTTCAGTAACCACAGCCTGGAAGTGCTTAAAACTGGCCTGAAAGTGGGGGCCACTCTGGCTGCGGCAAACAGCTTCATATCTCCAATTCTCTATGTGTTCATTGGTAATGACTTCAAACAAACCCTGAAGCGGTCTGTAACATCAAGGATAGAGGAGGCAATGGCGGAAGATTTTCGTACAGGTGGTCTCAACCACTCAAGGTCTAAGTCAATGGAAGTGATTTAAAATGAAGCTGAAACCTTTATCATCAATGAGTATTTCATGGTACAGAACATGATTGTAGAGCTGCGTGACATTGACAAAATGATACGTCATGGCACGTTTAACCTTGCATGTGTATAGGCTGCATATACATGTATCAATGATTTATTTATCATGATGATAAAACCGAACCAGCTATTGATTGGCCACTAATATTCATTCCTGTGTCTTTCAACTTTTTCAAAAATCTATATTGTCTCTATTTTTTATCTTATCTTTATTTATATTTTTCTACACTTGATTGTGATTCTTATGCGCCAATGTGTCAGATTCCTTGTATGTGAAAACTTACTTGGCAATAAACCTGACTCTGATTCTGACTCAGATATTTTGTAGTTTTAGATTGTTTTTATGTGTGTGTAAATGAATTGCTTGTGTGCTGTGATGGACGGATAAAGTATTTTGAATTGAATAAAATTTACAGTTGACAATATATTATAATTTGGTTTAGTTGTGAACTAAAACCTAAAATTATGAAGTGAAACAGTCAGTGTAAATATGTGCCTGTTGTTTCTAAAAAAATAAATACCTTTATACTTCATGTTGTGGATCCATATTTAACATTTCTAAAGGGAAGTAAAGATACATTTACATTCTGTAAATTTCAAACTTCCCTTTGATTTAATGTAGCCCGACTTGCATGCAGTACTGTTATATTTTATTGTTGTATTTGTTTTATTTTAAAGTGAATAAAAACATATTAAACCTGTTTTTAGGAATGTTTCTATTAATAAAACATCAAAAGGCAATGTGAGAGGATCAGTTCCCCTCAGATTTGTGGTCCTTTGAGCTCATATGTTGTCCCACTATGTTAACTCTCTGGTGAACACTGTGGAGCACTGTTAGCCATTGACGTGCCAGTTGGTCGAGGCTAAAACAGAGCTAAAAAGTGAGTTAATACTGGATTTATAGTTGCCTGTTGGAAAGTCCAAATGAATCAGAAATACTTTATTGATAGTATATAAGCGTATATAAGTATAAGAGCCTATGTACCTATATTAAGTAATAAATATATACACAATATATGCTAATATATACAAAGTAAGATTAGATTATACTTTATTCATCCCACGACGGGGAAATTCACTCGTCACAGCAGCAAGTAAGTAATTGGAGGGAAAAAAATAAATACAGATAAAAGACAGATATAAAAGCTATAGTGAGTAGTGGTGGTAATTTGAAACAGAAACTACAACATGATCAGGTGGTGCAGGTGTTGTAGAGTCTGACAGCAGCAGGGATGTAAAGACCTGCGGAACCTCTCCTTCTTACACAGAGGGTGTAACAGTCTGCTGGTGAAGGAGCTACTCAGGGACCTCACAGTGTCATGTAGTGGGTGAGAGGTGCTGTCCATGATGGATGTCAGCTTATCTAACATCCTCTTCTCACCCACTTCCTCTATGGAGTCCAGAGGACAGTCCAGAACAGAGCTCACTCTCCTGATCAGTTTATAAATAAATATAAACATACGCCACAGAATGAATGACAATGTTGTCCTGTGGCTGCTTGATGTGCAAATTAGTTTTAAATAATTAAGTGTTTCCTAAAATGTTATGTTCCTAAAACTTTACTTTATTGAGCTGCCCCAGGTCTCCAAAAGATGCTGATGCCTGATTGGTTGTGGTGGGCACCTGACAGACCGGACTGAGGGCACCACAACCCCGGTCAGGCTCGTAGCCACGCCCCCTGCCGCCCCACAAGATCTACTACCGGTTACTAGAGTGTTGCGGATGTGTGATGCAACCAACTGTAAGGATATTTTCTCAACTTCTCAACAAGTTTTAAATCTCAGTTTAGAAAACCACACCCTTGAACGACAGTGTGAACTCACGCTGTGGTGTTTGTTGTTAGTTGTTTTGTATTTGGTGTCTTTTTTTCGGTCGCTAACGTTAGCTGCTCCGTAACGACACCTTTCCTAGATGGAAGCTAACGTTAGCTAGCAGCCGATTTTAGTCGATTTAAAAAAGAAAAAAAGAGTTATTTATGTCAAACTCAGCCTCTCGTCTTCTCTTCTAACTATTAACTACAGGCTCCATCCACTGGGCTTCCCTTATGTACTTATTTTGAAGCGCTGGGTGCCAGCGGAGTCACCCTACCTTAGTGGATCTATCTTTGAGCTAAATGGCCACCGCTGCCCCCCCTCCAGCCTCTGGCTCGACTGCGGCAACTGACAATGCAAGTCCCGGATCCAGCAGCTCTACTGCGGCCGACGGTGGCAACCAGGACAGTACCTTCGAGTGTAATATATGTCTGGACACCGCCAAGGATGCAGTGATCAGCCTGTGTGGACACCTCTTCTGGTAAGACCTGCTGGCTGTCACTCATGTTTACAGTTTTTTTTTTTTTAAAACCCCACCAGTCAGGGTATTAAGGCCACATGCAGCTGAAGGGCAGTCCAGATCCAGATCAGTCTAGCTAATCTTACTTTTCATATTATTGTACAAGAGAACTGGGTATACACTGGTTTGTTGACATACACCCTACTGGCCAAAATCAGCTTTGAAAGCCAACATTTGGACCCAACAACAACAACAACAACAACAACAACAACCAACCATCAGTAGTTTTGTTGATATCTGGCCATTTGTTGAATGTGTACGTTATCTTTACACTAGCAGTAAAGCAATATTAGTCCATATTTAAAGATCACCAGGCACTTGCAACTGTGCATTAATACTGAGACTTTACAGAAATACCTAAAATAAGAAATATTAGTTTACTTATTCAATAAATAACACATAAGTACTTCTGTAGGAGTTCAAACATGTTATATAACTTTCTATGGTAGCACTTTTGGGCGATTAAATAATACTGCTGGTTTAATGTTTACAGTTAGGCTGAAATATAAAAGTATGCTTTAATAGTGTGTAAATACAAGGCTGGAGCTGCAGGTGTAACAGTATTCGGTATGTCCCAGTGTCTGTAGCCAGGCTCACCCTCTCACACGTAACTCTAGCCAACTTCTGTCCACTCAGGAGAGGTCAGGTCTTTAGCATTCGGTCTGATATCAGTAGGGACAGTCCCAGTTTAGTTATTCATTGTCAAAGAGAAGATAAATCCCAAAGGAAAGACGCCATTTGTCCTGTTTTCTACTCTCTTTAGTAGCTGAGCTCATTATTGACTTTGTGAACAGTGATGAATTGTTTTCCTTTGTTTATATACATATGCCATTTTTTACACAGTTTTAGGACACATTTGTGTTACTAATCAAACTTCTTCCCTGTCCAACACCTCTACCCTCGTCTTCCTCTGCATCCCCTCCCAATCAGTTGGCCTTGTTTGCATCAGGTAAGCTGAACCTATCTTTGTTTTGACAGTGCATTATTATTGGTGTTATATAACTGATGCAGACAGTCCGGTCTTTAATGGCTCTTTATCTTTATGCAGTGGTTGGAGACCAGACCCAACAGACAAGTGTGTCCAGTGTGTAAAGCTGGCATTAGCCGAGACAAAGTTATCCCCTTATATGGGCGGGGAAGCACAGGTCAACAAGACCCCAGGTGAGTACTTTTAATCTATTAGGCTTCAGGGTATTATGTAATCACAATACACCCCAAGGATTCTCCGAACGATGTTTACATTTCTGCTTTCTTTTATTCTTTTATAGAGAAAAAACACCCCCACGACCACAAGGGCAAAGGCCGGAGCCAGAAAACCGTGGTGTAAGTACTCTGCACAAGTATATAGTCATGGTAATGACAAAGTATATGATTTCATAATTTTGTGCTAGATCAATATTTTTTTGATGTTAAGTAGCTTTATCTAGCTTTTCAGTGCAATATCAGTTCTTATAATCCATTCATGATGAAACCATTACATAGGATTAGGTAGGTGTAGTGTAAACCTGCACTTTATTCATTAACAAAAGGACATTTCCCACTGGGATCTATTAGATGTTAAGCACTGCGGTGCAGGGACATCCCTTGTGAATGATCACAAATTGCACTGGCTATTGCGTCACATCTCACTGTGTTAAACTGGACCTCGGATAGACATTAAGAGAATCCACACGTCTTCATGTTAGTGATGAAATGCATGTTTCACAGGGCTTTCAAGGGTTTGGCTTTGGAGATGGAGGTTTCCAGATGTCATTTGGAATCGGTGCCTTTCCATTTGGTATTTTTGCTACAGCTTTTAACATCAATGATGGAAGACCACCTCCAGGTATTTATGTTTTACACACGTCACCACGACCACTCTGTGTATTTTATCAGCAACATATTAAATAACCTGTTTGAACTATTTCCCCAAACAGCGGCCCCTGGGACACCACAGCACACGGACGAACAGTTTCTGTCTCGACTCTTCCTGTTTGTCGCTCTGGTGATTATGTTTTGGCTGCTGATTGCATAAACGCATGGAAAGACAACATCTTGGGGTAACCCAAATGGTTTGACAGACATCATCACGGTTTGCACCAATGTGATTCTGCCTTCTTACATTTTCTAGCTCCTTGATTGTTTTTTTTTCTCCTTTACACAAACGTGAGATTTGAATGAAGCATTTTTTTCCAAAATAAAAGATGCCTGTAATTCAGGGATAAAAACGTTCAAAGTGTACCACGTAACCATGGTTACTTAATGTTTTAACTCAATAACTTATAATAATAATTTATATTTCCTGCACCTAAACTTCATCAGCCAACGGCTTCAAACATCGTGCTGCTTATACAACCTCCCCCCCTCGTATATCTACATGCATCTTTCTCTCTCTGTTGTTGGTCATTTTTTAGACACATAAGAGGTTATTCAGGTGAGAGAAAGTGGAGATCACTCAGTGCTTTTTCACTTTTTGCATTTTTGACTGAATCAGGGCTTTTTTTGATTGTTTTGCTTCTATTATTGTATTTAAAGAAATATTCTGCCTAACAAAATAAGTCCACCAGTGCTCATTCATTTGGATTTTCATTCACACTTCCAATCCAACCAATATGTTCTGAAACCCATATGTTTCAGCCTATATTTGGTTGCCTGTTACCCTACTTAGGTGGCTTTTCTTAAGGTTATTTTTGGGCTTTGATAGCCTTTTATTAGACAGGAGCAGCTGTAGAGAGACAGGAAAGTGGGGAGAGAGAGAAACGGGGGGGGGGCATGACACGCAGCAAAAGGGCCACATGCTGAAATCAAACCCAGGCTGCTGCAGTAAGGACGCAGCCTGTGCACGAGGGGCAAAGCTCTAACAGGTGAGCTACCAGGGTATAGGTATATAGGTATTAATTTAGGCCATCTGGTCCCCGTGCTCTCATTTAATGGTCATAGCAGGAAAAGCACAGGTGTTAGTAATAACATTAAGGATGACTCTGATCTATTCCAGTGTCCCAGGAGGTCATAACAGTATGACAGCCATTATTATTTATTATTGACACCTGTGCTTTTAAGCTGACATGTCAAAATGTCTTCCATGTAAAAGGTATTCATATAGGCCTGCATTTTATTTTTATTTTTTTTGAATTGTTGGAAATCTTAATGAGTTACACGCTGAACACTAGCATGTGCCTCTTCCATGTTGTCTCTCCGTTCACTGATTTACTAAGAATTCTTTTTGTTATATAGCTGTACTTGATCTCACAAATACATCTCATCTGCAAAATGTACCAAAATCATACCAAGATTTTTTGGAATCAAAACAATGTCAGACATTGTCTCTTTATTTTAGATGAGATTAAAAAAGCAATGTGTTGATGCATGTAAGCAGTTAAGATTAATTTATGAAACAGTGTTCCTCTCCAAACTGGAAAGTTTCTTTTGCTCTGGTTTCTCTGTCACTGTAATTAAATGTAAAATACTGTAGATTATTACAGAGTTAATGAAGATTGAAAAATAAAACAACTTTTCTAAATGTGAATTCACTCTATTGACAGTAAAAACCATGTAAATAAAGATGTTAATCATAGTCTGTTTGTCGTCTTATTAAGGTTTAAATTCATAATCCTTACTCATCTAATAAATATGCAACTCCAGACACACCAAACCGGAGTGGTGTGGAAATATTCATCAACCTGTTCAACACTGAGATGTGTTGAAAATGTAGAGCAACTTGAGCTATTCTTCACTGTTAATTTCACATGAAAAAGGGGGTTTACTGCAAACTCATCCATTCTGTGCTGTAAAAATATATATTTTGGTCATTTTGTGGATTTTTAGAAAACAAAAGTAAAGTACAAAAGCAGTCAGTTTGGTCTAGTCCTGCGTTTCTGGCTCCGGCTGTTTCTCTTGAGATTCTGACTGTGCGACGTTGAACTCTGCTTCATACATAATCTGCTGGATCTTTATTTTTGTCTCGCACCTTTTCTGTGGAGCGAGTCGCTTCAGAGCAGGGACAAAGCTCAGTAGAAACAGTTCATCCTCATCCCGCGGCCTGTTGGGAAACGAGGTGCCATTGTCTTTGACTAGCCATTTTGTTGGGGATGTTGTACTTTGAGAAGAAGGCAGTGAAAGTGCCTCTTGCATCAGGCGCCGTTTCCTTCCAGTTTTGGTGCTCGGCGTGATCTGCTGGCCTGACGGCATCTTAGCCAGAACAGCCAGCTGGGCCATCTGTGCGTCTTGAGACACCGAAGGAAGCTGAGTCATGAACGCTACCTGGGGCTTGAGGTCAGGTTGACTCACAGGGACCTTCATGATGGACTGCGGCGTCTTGACTGCGTCAGAGGAAGCGCTTTCTCCCTCCGCGCTGCAAGACTCGTTGTCAGGATTGTCGTGGTCGTCGTCGTTGTTGCCGCAGATGTCGGCCACTCCACTTCTTGATCCAGTGAAGGGTGCAATAAAATTCATAAGTTGTCTGTATTTCCATCTACTTTGCACAATCTCTCCTTGCTTCTTGCTTTTGATCTCCATTCGTACTTCCTTCAAGTACCTGTCTCTCATGTTCTTCCATTTTCTTTTACACTCATCAGCTGGAAAAGCAAAATATCAGTGTAAGAAGCAAGAAATCACTTTAAATATATTTTCTGTTTACTGACAATGAACAGGAATGAAAGATATGAAGCAGTCTGCAACCAGGACATCTACTAAAGCTGCATATGAGAAGAAAACTGACCACACTGACTTTAAACAATGTGGTTACTATAAAAATATTTCCCAGAAATTACATTCCCAGACATTTTGTGCAGATGAGTAGTCTGCTGCACAGATGTTAGACTAAATATGTACCTACATGGCTTGTGAGAAGTGTGCTCTTCAGCCCTCAGCCTACAAATATAGGTAATAAAATACACCCAGATATCATGTTGAAATTGTAATTATAGGTAAATGTTGATGGCAATGTATAGAATTGCTGGGTTTCTTGTTTCCCGGGCCCAGATAAATCACTGCTCACTGATCGATGAAATCACGGATGTTGGCATACAGACTAAATGAGGGTCTCTATGTTAAAATATTATGAAGCAGGACAAAATAACAACTGTACCTTCACACAGCTTTTTGACCGTATTTTAACTACAACCAAAAGCAGCCTAATCAATGCATGTTTTTTGAGACATTATGGCTGCAACTAATTATTATTTTCATTATTGATTAAATTAGCAATTATTTTCTTTCTTTTCTACCCAAATATATTGAATTAACTATTAAGCCATGAAAATCTGCAAATCATTGCAACTGTATATAATTATAAAATTGTAATTTTTTATATTATAAATTACAATTAATAATAATTGCTGATTCATAAATCAACTTATGTCTTCAGCTCTAGTGTTAATAATACGCTTGTATTTGACTAGACTGTGTCCACTAAAATCATACAGTGTTAACACATTAAAACTAATTAAAACATAATAATATCCCTAAAAGGAAGAATATTTGGTTAATGGCTGGTGGCAGATGAGTTTTAGCTACTCACTGAAAGTATATATAATTATATATACATTAATACATTAGATTGCATTCAGCTGTATAGGTGTATCTAATAAAAGGAACTGTGTAATGTGCAGTATATAATGGGGTATTCAAATAAAGCAACAGATTACTTAAAGTAAAAACGAAAGTGAATGATTTATCTTTAATTATAAGTCTTTATAAAGTTACACAAATAAATAACAATGGTTAATTCATTGTGGCTTTATTGATCTTGTCACGAGCTGTCTGGAGGTCATTGTATTTACGTGCCGCCCCATCATTAACTATGTCTCCGTGCACCTGATAATGTTTCGGGCCAGGGGCCCTCCGTTTCCCCCCCCCGGCTCCGGTGTGTTTCGTACCGCCTCCGCCACCGCTTCCACGAGACTTCCTAGAAGCCTTTCAGTACACACGGAGCTCGCGGTGTTAACGAAAAAGCACGCGGCTCGTTAAATCCGTGACGCGGAGCATGTTGTCCTCCCTCCGCCGTGCCGTGTGGACACGCGGCTGGCGGCGCAGAGGCAGAGCCGTCCGGTGCAGCGCGGCCTACGGGTGTGCGAGCTGCGGCTGCTACCGCTAGCACGGTGCGCGCGGCTGCAACCACACCACCGGGATGTAGTCGCGCGGATAAAAAAATAAATAAAAAAATAAAATGCTACAAAAATTTCCTGCAAGCGACATTGTAACTACCTCCATCTCCTGGAAACACCCAATGTCTGTTTAGTCGTCCGCGTCCAACATCGGCTAAGCGAATAATAACTGACAGTAAAGTTGTGATAAACAAAATAAACAACCAAACACTCACATGGGAGACCCAGTGCGATACTGATGTTTCTCCAAGCATTTGCCCGACTTTCAGTGCAGCGGTAATTCGGCAAAGTGACATTGTACAGCTCTGGGTAATTAAATACAGACAATATTAACTTATCGTCCATTTTGCCCTACTGTTGTGTCTGTGCTGCGCGGACGCGGAAGCGGCAGTCTTCTCCCGCCTTTTCCGCCCATCTGCTGCTCCAACGCGAGTTATCGCGAGTGGCGGGCAGCCTGCCGCGCTGTGTCGCTCTGCCGTTCAAACGTTGTGGGGTTTGGTCACAGGGGGGCGCACGACTCTACTGCCCTGCTCTGCTGTCGGGGTTGAGGGCAGGGGTTCCCGACCTTTCCTGAAGGTGACCCCCCCACTTTTTTTCTATTATTTATTCATTTAAAAACTATTATAAACTGTACAATTAACCCAAATAATGAACTCAGTAACTGCAAGAAGTTTGGATTTGGATGAATTTTGAGCCGATTATTTCTTGTTTCTGGAACTTTTTTATTACAATTTTCAGTCTGTATTATGTATTTTCTATCATTTTTAACGATCGTACATACTTCATATGCCTCCTTCCTGACAGATTCAGTGTCTTCTTATTGTTCTATTAGCTCTTTTCTAATGCAGGACCATGGCTGTTTAAAGGCTCTGGGAATATAGTTTTTGCTCAGATCTTCAAAGTTTACATCTCAAATAATAATCTAAACTTAAAAACTAACAATTTACTTCACATTTACATTTACTTTTCTCCACAGAAGGCCTACTGTGTATAGCTACACGCCCCCCCTGTAAAGCTTTGGCGAACCCCTACTGCCCCAGGTTGGGAGGTATAGTCCATATTGTGTTATTATAAGGGACAGGGGTCATTTCAGCTTTGGGAGGCAGCAACCTGGTGCCCTTACAAAAAGCATAAAAATAGCATATAAATAAAATAACATTTTTTTTGTTCTTTAACCATTTTGATTACTGATACAGATACAGATTACTCTCTTGTCAGAGGTAACAAACTTCAACTAAAAATGTTAAAAAATACAACATAATATTAAATTACAAACATATTCAACCAGTTTTTTTTTCTCACCCTTTTTAAATATAATTCTCTACACTGCTTTTACAAAACAAGAATGTGTCGTTGCACTGATATTGGGATGTTAGGATTTATACAGACAGAATCAGAAACCTTTTTGCTTGCGAGTGATGTGAGAATTCACACTTGTGCAAACTTTTGATGGACTAAATCCATCATGGCCTTTGGGAGGGACTGTGTGTCTCTCTCCTTTGGGATACAGTAGCCTACAAATTGCATATGTATTAGTTTATGTGTGTTTTTTGTAACATATAAACATTTGAATAACAAAACCCGTGTTCACCTTAGATGAAAAAGCCTGTTGAAGACAAATCACACAGCAGATCCCAGAGCTCATTATCAGATTTCAGGGAAAAGTAGAAAGAAACATAATATTTGTATTTATACAACTATTAGATATGCAGTTTCAACCACGAGGTGGTTTTGCTGATTCCTCTCAAGTCCCCCGGGGGTATCACTATATCTGACAAGTCTGTTTTCTGAGCCTTGAACAGTTACTGTGTTTTGCCTGCACAAGCTCTCTCACACACATACACACACACACACACACACACACACACACACACACACACACACACACACACACACAAGCAAGCAAGTCTGGAGCAAACAGAGAGGAAGGTTGATCCTCTGCATTTCCTGGTCACACAGCTGCAATCTCCGATTCCCCAGGAGGTTTTGGGCCCCGGTCCAGCAGTGAAGAGAGACACTGAGCTTTTTCACACATGAGTAGTCTGATACCAGTTGGGGTTCTCTGCTGGTTTATCCAGTGTCTCCTCTCTGAATTGTACTTGATTTGTGTTCTTAATTATTCATGTTTTCATTTCTTCTCCCACCGACCTGCTGTTTGAGTCGTCATTAATGTATGATCCCAACACAAACCCAAAGGGTGTATTAGTCAATGATAATCATGCTGAAATGAATCCCACACGTCAGCACCATCAGGACAATATTTTCCAGAAATTACAAGCTTCACGTCACGATGAGGCAGAGAAGCAATTATACATTTTTTTTAGCCTTGGCATCCAAATCCGAACTGGTGTTTGGTTGACTTTTGTTTCTGGGGAAAGTGAGAGAGTAAAGAAATCAGTATTGTCCAATTGTCCTTTATATGCCACTTCAGGTTTTGTATTTGAAGGGTAGTAGTGGAACCATTTATGATGTTGATAACGTTTCCAAGGGACAATCACTTTAAATTGAAGAGAGCTCCTTAAAAATCTCTAAAAAAGAAACTGAATCAGCCACGGGGGCGGTGGAGGGTTTTCTTTACTTTACCTCTTGTACCAAATATTGCTTTTACAACAACAAAATGAACCTTTATCATTCTAATCCCCGGTAATGAATTTTGAACTGTTTGAACCAATGTGGATGTGGTACAATTCCTTCTATTGAGAACCACAATAACTGCAGATAGCAATCTCACATGCTCCGCAAACTATACATCAACAATCTGGGCGCTATTAAACCCAAGTGAAAAGGATGGGATGGTGTTTATTGTTATCTGTTTTCAAAAGCCCTTATAAGAGGAGCTTAAGACAGATTGTGGAAATCCATTAATTCTCTGGGTAAAAAAAAAAAAAAAAGGTGTATTGCCTTGTATGAAATCACAGGATTTGTTGGAGGAGGGGGGGTGAATTTAACCTGTAATAGCTTTACCTCAGCTGTGCACATTGACAGAGAAGTGAGACTGAAAGACTGCACCACACAGATAAGACACACGATGCATGATGGCGAATACAAACTACACGGAGGGACGGCTTTTTTCTGAATTTACTCTTGCCATTTGTGTTTATCTGTACTGTGTAATACGTACAAATCTATTAGTGTCACCAAGCACGTCACTGGCATGATGAGTCATTCATTCATTTGCAACCGCCTAATTACTGTGTGCAATTAGTATGCATTGTTGTTGTCAGTGCTGCCTCATTGTGTCACTTACTGAACATATCTACTAATTTGCAGATCATTGATAAAGCTAAATAGGAAACGTGACATTATGAAATAAATTTAACGGCTAATCCTCAAATTCAGCATACCCAAGTCTCTGGCCACACCAAAAAACGTTCATCTTTAAATCCAGGTTTCTAATACCGAGCAATCCCCTTTTCTCTAAAACCTCAACAATAAGGATCTTAGGAGCTCTCCACTTCTCATTTTATGCACTGAAATCTGATTTCTTTTGGAGAAAGGAATGAAGCAAGATTAACTGAATCTGCCGTCCTCCCTAACCTCTTCACAAAACTGCCCAGATTAGCTAGGAATTAAGTTTCAACCGTTTTATGTGTCTGGTCCATAGGGGGATTATAGTTTTACTATTTTTTTTTTTTTTTGCCTCCCAATTTCACTATAAGGGCCTGACACACTGTTGTAGAGAGAGGAGAAGCAGAGGAGCAGCTGAGCCTGAACTATCAAAAAGTGTTGTGTGTCAAGATCCCATGATCACCACTTCTTGGTTTTATTAGGAATTTCTTTGGAAATGGATGGACTGATTGGGATGGAGAGACAAAAGTTTCCTTTTACTATTGAGAACATACTGACCAAATATCCAAACAGCAATGGAGACAGACGGTCATGTGGAACAAGTGGTGCCGGACTTAAAGAAAAGGGATTGAGTCCTGTTGGAGGCCAGACAGAGACCGTACACCGTGCCTGTCTGTGCTGCTGCTACTGCTCCCACTGTGGAGATATATTCCAGACTGATTTCATTCCCGAAGGTAAGACCAAACCAGTTCTCTTTGTGACAAAACCCGCCTCTGTTGATGCATGCTTTAAACTGGTTTTGACTATCTGACCTAAAATCAGACCTCCTGTCTACAGCCTGTCAGTACGGATGGTCCCCAGCGATGCTCACAGACCCGTGCAGGCTAGGGGATGCACACAGAGAGGAGCAGGCGCCCGGTCAGGTGCAGAGGCGAACCAGACGTCACCGCACTATTTTCACAGAAGAGCAGCTGGATGCACTGGAGGAGCTGTTCCTGCAGAACCAGTATCCAGATGTGAACACGAGGGAGAAACTAGCACAGCGCACTCACTTAAGAGAAGAAAGAGTGGAGGTAAGACACATTGAACCTTTCAGCAAATAACAGTCCTGTTTCCACAGTAATGCAGGGTTAGATACGTTTCAAATTGCTCCAAATGAGTGCAGTATTATGTTCGCTATGGAAGATGGGTTGTCATGTGGGAAATACTTACTAAAGATGATAGCACTGGATTTAACCTAAACTCTGGTTGTTTTTTATTATATGCCTGTGTTGATAATGATAATATAGTCCAATACTGTTCTAGTGGTTTTATTTAAGAGTCAAATAAGATGAGTACAGTGTGTCATGACACAATTAAATTACAACTAAATAACATTACCTTTTTCCTGGCAATAGGTTTGGTTTAAAAACCGAAGAGCAAAGTGGAGGCGTCAAAAAAGACTATCGTTTGGTGTGGGAAACACAGAAAACTAAACAAGACAATCTGAAGAAACTGTGTGTGTGAATGCCTGACGTTGAAAAGCTGACACTATACCATGTGTGGAATATCTTAAAGTTTGTTCAATCAAAAGCTGACACTAAACTGAATTGCTGCTGGCTTTAATTTCACACATTAGTACACTGTTCATTCAGGAACCTTTTTTAAATACAGAAATTGACATCCACTTTTCTTAAAACATACTCAAACCTTCTTTTCTTTTGCATAGCAAATTCTAAGTCATTCTAATACAGGTGTCTATGAAATGACAATCTGGCTGAGATACTCCTACCTAGTACAACCAATGCAGTGAGTTTCCACATCAGTGCCCCAGAAATAAATGCCTGTAATGGGCCTGAGCCTCTCCCACTGCTGCAGGGTGTTCCTGCTGTCCCTGATCGAGGTTTGTAGTCTGGCTACGTTTTAACAATGTCACTTTGTTTGTGTAAACATTGCATTAAGTCTGTAATGTATTCCAGACCAACGTCCTGTGTGTCCTTTAGGAACACTTGCTGAAATAACCGGCGTGAATGTTTGTTTGGTCTTGTTTTCCCATAGGCCTACCACATACCACAGGTTATGTTACATACAGCCAATGTGTCCTTTTGTTGTCAGTACTGGTTGATTTGATTTAATACACATGTGAATGACAGTGACCAACATTAGATCAGATTAAAGATTAACATTGTGCTGTTGAATGCAGGCTCCGGCGCAATAATATCCCTTTCAGAAGCTTTGTAATTCAGCCTTGAACTGCAGTGTGTTTTTGGAGACTTCGTAAAATAAATCGATAATGATAAACCCAACACTAAGTCTTCATTATTTATAAATTTTTCTACGTTGAAAAACATCTTTTTAAAATGGCTGTCCACTGCCTTTCTGTGTGAGGGGTTGGGGGGGGTGTTGTTGTTTTTTTAAATTGAAACACTATAAACATACAGACATTCAGCTGATGGACATTCTTGTACAATTTAAGATTCAAATGAGTGAAAGAAAGTATATATATCAACCAAATGAAAAAGGTAAGCAAATTAAATAAAATAAAAAAATATATCTAAACATAATTAATAAACATCACTAAAGCCAATACCTTAATTGGGGACTATAGAAAATAATTTCTTAAAATATAATGTGCATTCACGTGTATGGGCATGTGTGTTTGGCAGCTCTGCTCTCAAACAAATTACACAGTACTTAACATAGTACTTAAGTAGTTTTTTCAGGTATCTGTTCTTTACTTGAGCCACCAAGTAAAGTGGGGATGCCCCAGTTTTGACAATTTAACAATTAAGCTTGAACTGGAAAGGTTGGGTGTACTGTTTGGGTCCCAAGGTGGCCTTGTTGACTTTTACCTGTAATTAAGCCAAGTGCTCTTCTGGCCTGGTTACAGTGACATGCAGGACTTAGCCACCTGGGGATTCAAACTCTGGACCTTTGTATCCCCAGAGACGGTGACTTACTGACTGCAGGTGGACATGGTCTTCCACACACCTTCACACAAACTGAAGCAATGAAATTACATGCAAGTATTTTTGTGCTGGTGTGAGGTGCATTGCCAAATCATTTGGTGAATTTGATCAAATACTTGGCGAAATGGAAAATGTTTGTATGTAAATTACAGTGAGACACAATATCACTGCAGACTCATCGTTAAACACATTAGAAAACCATTTTAAAACATCTCCAAGGAGGACTGCAAGAAGGTCGAATCAAAAATCATCTCAACTGGTCACTATCCGGCATCCAGAGGAGAGGAAACAATGGCAAAGTAAATATCTCTTCTCAACCACATCCAGAATGTGCAAGTCCATAAAAATCCACTCTTCCCTAAGATCCTCCACCCCCCTTTAGCCCACAAAAACAAGCATCTGAATCTGAAGCTTCGTACAACACTATTCAGTAGCAATTAATTATGGCTAAGCAGTAAACACAAAATTACTCTTTCTTTAAGCAGTTACTTTGGTATCAGGTCAACAGCTGAGACCATATGAATTACTACAACTACATGTAACATGCTCTCTCCTGTTTTTTTAAACTCCTCTTTCATCCTTTGCCCTGCACCCTTTGTGGCTGAGCTGAAAGCAGTGGCTGTTCCTGGATTCCTGTGCTCCCAGTATGAGTGATCTGAGAAGGCAGATACAGTTGCTATCCTTGTGTCCAGGTCCAACTGTCCAGGTGGGGTGGGGAAAGCTCCAACACATTGTGACCCAACACCCATCTAACAGCACAGCCCCTTTCCTAATCAGCTGCTTTTTGCCAACATATAAATCTCCATAAATCTCCACCGTATTACTGTAGCCGTTACTCAAAATGTCTGTTTGGGTAATATATACATTATTCCAATGCTGCTCCTTTGTATATGTATTTCACAAAGCAAGCAGTTCAGTTTATTGTCACAGAAACAAACACTCCACAGATGCATAATTCATGACAACAGCCTATCTCTCTATTCCCTGTTACTGTCTTGTTTTCTTCTTCCATGGTAGTCCAGATTTGACACCAGACATTGTTTTGCCTGCTAAAGCTGTGTTGAATGTATTGTCTGATTTATGCATCAAACAGTAATATCCATTTTGTTCATGTCTTACAGAACAGAACCCCAGAAGATGACAGTGTGATTCATCAGCCTGCAGTCTGCTTCAAATCATCTTGTCTGTATGGACAAAAGTGGGTTTTCATTATTTCCAATGATTTCCATTTCACAATGGTTTATTGTATTCCATGTCCAGTATCAAATATACAGCAATAAACAGACAAAACTTCATCTTGTGTCAGTCAAGTCATATGACTGTAGACAGTTTTGTGACTTGTGATTGTGTATGAAAGAAGGCACTTGCACTAGGATATACATTAATACTAATGCATGTTGCTGAATGTTAAATATCTGTAAATGCATTGTTATAAACTTCATTTTTTTTATATGTTAAAGTTAAAGCATCATACATAAATCCAAAAGCTGACACTGAATACATCCATTAAGAACTTAAATATTTCACTTTATTTAAACACCTCTTTTTAGCTCAAAAATTCCACAATACAGTTTTGTATGTAGGTTAATTTCTAACTTTGATTTATTGTATGTCAGAGATCTTCATATCATTTAGTCAGTTTAAACCAGTGATGGTCAGTCTTGGGGCTCAGGATGATGGGGAAAGATAACTTCTGGGTTAAAATATGTAATATAATTGTTATTTAATAGGGCGGATAACAGGAATCAGAGTGAACCCCGGGTATTGCTTGGTCTTGTTTTTATTCTTTCACAATAAAATCCCTACACAAATATTTATAATTTATAATATCCACAACACATTTTACCATACGTTACATAAAGTTAACTCATAAGTCGTTAATTCTCCCCATACATTCCTACTCGGATTATTCTTATATTCATTATTAATAATAATAATAATAATGAATATACTGGAAATTTCCTGAGGCAGTAAACTTCCGGTGACGCAACAATTCACACTACGTAGTACGTTGTTTGTACGACGTCCTGAAGTTAGCTTACGGCAACTAGTCAGCTAACTACCTGCTTACAATTAGTGAGGTTCAGACAGTCTTAATATCTACATATACGGCGTCTGCTTCCAACACCCGAGCTGTCTTTCTCAACTACAGAAGCCGCTTTCCATTTCGGCTCAGTCGGAGTTTACAAGGATCGCCATTAGCCGTTAGCCGTTAGCCCAGGAGGCTAACAGGGTCCACAATGGAAGGCAGCGCCAGCGTGAGGAAGTCGCTGTCCGGGACTCTGGTCCCTTCAGCGGTCACAACAGTGGCTCTCCTGCAGCAACCCGAGGAGACGGACAAAGGGAGGTTGAACAGAAAGGTTCTCGATGAGGAGCAGTACATTGAGGTGAATGGATAAAGTGGTGTACAGGACAGACAGACAGACAGACAGCAGTGCTAGCTCGGTTAATGTGAGCAGAGGAACAGTTTTAGTGTAACAAACATTAGTTTTGGTGTTGAGGTCTTTGTGTTTTGTAATTCAGGGTTAATTCATTGAGTAATACAAGTCCAGCCTCCTGTTTGTTGTAGGAATTATTTAAGCTAGGATACATAATCATTAGGAGTCATATCATGGTGTGAGAAGAAACTAGATATAATATGTATATGAATGTAATTAATTATTAGGATTTCTTTGTAACATTAATGATTGGTATTGGTTTCATTCTCCCATACTGTACAGCTGAAATTGTTACTATTTGATTCAACAATAAATCAACTCACAGAAATATTGTTTTGTTTAAAATGTCCAAAGAAAACAGACAAGTTTTTCTTGGTTATTGTTTCTTAAATGTTAGGATTTCTCTATGTATATAATTGTACATTTCAGTTTTGAACTGTTAGTCAGAAAAAAGCAATTTAGAGATGTCTCTGGAAAATTGTGACAGTAAGTTGCAGCCGTACCATCCTGTTTCCTTTTAGGCACTAGTAAGCCGAGTTAATATGCCAGACTGAGTGAAAGTGATATGTCACTTTTATAATTTCTTGTTGTTGTATTAAAACACATATTTCCTTACACAAAGTCATACCTGTATCTACTTGTGTATTTCTTACAGAGTTTAGAAAAGATCATCCAGAGGGACTTCTTCCCAGATGTGACCAAATTGCAAGCACAGAAGGATTATCTTGATGCAGAGGAAACTGGTGACCTAGAGAGGATGAGAGAGATATCCATCCGATATGGATCATCTTTGACAAAATCTACGCCACGGTCTTCTGCACCCTGTGAGTGAAATTAAACTCACTTACTTACTTACAAAATTAAAGAACACCCTTCTATAAGTCAATGAGGGTACAGTATACCATGAGACAGATATTTAGTCTTTACACCTTTTCCCCTTCATTCTCTTTGTTTGTAAGATGTGACACCAGCCAGCTTTGAGACGCCAGTGGGCCGATCAGGGTCTCCCTCCTCCACTCATGGCGGTAAAGGTTTAGATGGGGGTAAGTATCTAATGTTTTAAGATGAAGAACGGATGACATAAAACAATGTTCTGAGCTTTATTCGTGTGATTATATAAACCCTCAGATCGGTGTCTCACTTTAAAACTCTTTAATTGCAATAGTTGAATGGTAATACTCTAACAAATGGACTTCCAAATGATAGTAGTTTAACCCCATTTCTATTGATATTGTGTTCATAGAGAGCAAGGAGGACGACAAGAAAGAGAAAGAGCTGCCCTGTCTGGATCGTTTCCTTGCTAAAAATACCAGTGAGGATAATGCATCATTTGAGCACATAATGGATTTGGCAGAAGACAAGGAGAAGCTGAAGCATTACTGGTTATATGAGGCTGAGGCTGAATACAAGCAGGTATGTTGAGTTAAAAAGCTTTAGTTAAATTTAAAACAAATTAATGAAATGCTTGGATTACACATGTGCTGATCATAGAAACCACATCTTGGATAGTTATGAGGGTTGCGTGGCAGTTGATTAGAATATTGGTACATCCCTCGACCAAATTTAAAATATTAATGCTTCTGATATTTTTCAGCGCCACGAGGAGAACCTTGCCTTACCATCCGTAGAGAAAGCAGCGCTTGAATGTGTCAAAGCTGGACTTGAGACATGGGAGTACAAAGCAAAGAATGCCTTGATGTATTATCCAGAGGGTAAGAAGACCAGACTTGGATTGACATTAATCCCTACTGAGGGCATGTAATTGATCGAGCTGTGAGAGAAAATGTTAATTTCATGTGTTTTCACATTATTATTATTCTCTTTAATCAGGTGTTAAAGATGATGATGCTTTATTTAAGAAGCCACGGGAGGTTGTTCACAAGAACACACGCTTTACTGGAGACCCATTCAGCAAGGCTCTCAACAAAAGCCAGATTCAGCAGGCTGCGGCCCTCAATGCACAGGTAAATATTACTAAATATGGTATCTGAAAACCTGACATTGGAAAGGTGCCCCACACTTAAATGAATTGTGTTATGGCAGTTTAATATTCACTTGAATAA